TAAATTTAGCAATATATTGACTTATCGTGTTCGAGACATAACGCGGATCTCCGTAAACGGAGTCAAGGTATTCCCACGCTGCGTCGTAATCTGTACATATTCCCTTAATTAACTCAAGTGGTTTACCCTGGAGGCATGTTCGCAAAAATGTCATTGCGTCGCGTTTGCCGTATCAGTCTTGATTCAACAGCGTACCTAAAATCTGCGCGGAAAATTGCGTACTCTCTTACATCACCGTTGAATTTGGGCATTTTAGGCTTTTCCATCTTAAAACTACATGTTTGACTCGTTATCTGGTGATTTGCGTGTTCAGTTGGATCGCCCGTTGTGATGACAGGATTGGGCGCCTGAGCCACAGGCGACAGATTAATACTACCAGATGTGTGTGCATGTTATGCTACCAGAATTATCGTTTTCAGGCATATTTGAAATTGTTGAAATTCCATTAGACGTTTGCATGCTAGTTTCACCGTCCATGTTTTGTTCATATTGATCTAGACTTGAATTACTAGTACATGCACCTACATTAGTATTTAACGGTTCGCTGATATTTTCTACTATTGCCTCCGTATATAACTTTGCTTTTATGTCCAAATTCATGAACGTTTCTTGACAGTTGTCAAACCAACTTTCCTCTTCTGTAAACAGCTCGTCGCTTTCTATCAGACTGGTATATTCTTCATGCTTTGATACCAAAGTCTCGTACGTTTTCTTATATAAAAGAAGAGATTCGCTTACCTCTTCTTTCGGCCGCTTCGCGTCAATGAGGTGGTTCAGGGCTTTTCCGGTTTTCGCGGTTCAATCTATAATTGTTTCCTGAGTACCTCACGAACCAGTTTATACAAGATACAAGGTAACTATTTGTATTCAAACGAGCGATAACTGGCACAAATCAGTGAGCATGATTAAATAACATTTAACTAAAACATATAAATTAATTAAGTCATTTAAGGGGCTGATTACATGGAGTGTCTTCAGCCCGGGGTTGTTACAAAATCGCGCACGCGATTACATGACAAGAATTTCAGCCCGGTTTGAGTTACCCGGGCTGAAACCGGTGCTGAAACTCAGGCCTAACAGTATTACTGTGGTATAAAGATAAAAAAATAATGTGATATTTGTGAATAAATTTGAATAAATGAAACTATTTCAGTCATCAGGTGTGAAAATTATATAATCTGACTGTCACTTTTCAATAATTTTTGTCACAAAAACTAAGTATATATAAAATATTGCCAATTTGCCATTGGATTATCGCATTAAAAACAAAATATCCTTGGTTGTGCAGTACGCGTCTTGGAAGTATAAATATTACCAATTTGCTATTGAATTTGCTAACAACCATTTTCTACATTTTTCCTGGAAATGCAGTACGTTTCCCAGATGAGACACCCCCCGTGACCCCCCGGAATGCCGACAGACATACAAAATTTTTTCAATTCGAGATTCGGTTGACTTTACCATAGACAATCCAAAAGACATTGTCTTCTGGATTGTCTATGACTTTACATAACTCGGACAAAGAGACTGCGCACGAGTAAATGTGAAAAACTGCATGTTGCGTCAAGAATGCCTAAGGCAAAACTGACCCTAGGTACGAGGTTGGCTGAATGCAGCCTTTATGTTTTCGAATAAAGCGCCCCAGGTACGAGGCTGATCAGGTCGGCACTAGATCATAGACAACATATGCACATATCTGAAACTGCTATATATATTGGTCAGCGGGTGCCCTAATTTGATTTCATAATAAAATAGCGCGCGAAAATTGGAAAATTGGCTCGAAGGAAAGCAAAATATAATCACACCTCTATTAACTGTGATATAATATATCCCCGCAAAGGATATTGATAAATCATTCTGTGACATAGTTGGTTGATCTTCTGTGACTTAGTTGGTGAAAATTTCCTTCAAGTTTCAACAATTCATCTAATGTCCCACTGGAACCTTAATTGAAATAGCTGAATATATAAAACAGTATAACCTGTATATAAACAGTACATTTGAGTGCATTGTTAATACCATAAAGTTGCATATTTCTCTGATTACAAGGCCAGAGCTAAACCCGTTGATGGGAAATGCTTTAGAATTTACTCTATCTATAAACGCCAGATGATTTTACTTGTCAGTGGTAGAGTACTGCTGGTTAATTAATGAGGGTATGTATATATATATATATATATATATATATATATATATATATATATATATATATATATATATATATTATTCCTCCAAAAGATGTGATGCTAGAAATATATCAGGTTCAGTTGGTGGGTGTTTAAAGTAATGTATTTATTGTACGGGTGTCGCAGTAATTTTGCCCCCCCCCCCTAGTAATATCACCCTTCCAGGGAGGGGGGACATAAAATTCTTAGGAAATTGGCTCCCTTTCAGAAACTTCACCTTCCCTTTGCGATTTTTGTTCTCTGTTAACACATTATCATTAATTGTATTGACAAACATAATGGAATTGATCAAATTCAAAATATGAATTAAATAGTATGTCTTAGTGTGTATGTACAACATGTTATACCCATTCAAGGCTCACATTTTCCAATACTCTTCAACTTGCAGTCGTTTTGTTATTAGATCAAAAATTCAAAATTTATTAGAGGGGGAATCTCCTGGGAGGGCAAAATTCCTGTGACACCAGTCAGTTATAAAGTAAAAATAATATAATACAATTACATATATGAAAAGAAATAAGATTTGTAAATATTGCTGAAACTATACTTCCATAATAATGAATTTTAACGTTATAATAATAATAATGAAAACTTTATTAATAATAATAATAAAGATTTTATTATGGCATATCCACATTACAAGGCTCTTCATCCATAATATTAAAACTAACAAACTATGATATTATACGAGGAAAGGTTGTTTGAGAAATCTATCTCTGAGAATGACTTGAGCAATTCATTTTGTAATACTCATTATTAAATTGTGAGTCAGTCAATACAGTCAATTTGTATCGTCCTGAGTTGTATGAATTGAAAGGAAAGCGTTTACAAAGTATTTTAATTTTTAAGTATAATAAGACCACATTTATATTAAGTATCGAGCAAATGCAACATCGCTGACCGTTATATATAGCAGTTTCAGATATGTGCATATGTTGTCTATGATCTAGTGCCGACCGGCTGATCACTCCCAGTATCGAATATGGTGGATTCAAGCACGGAAGAGACTTCGAGAAAGGGCATAGATGCAAGGAATTTATTCGAGAATTTTGGACTTTTAAAACCCGGCGTAGTGGCGTTTGGATTGGGTGGTCTGTCCTCTGCAATTATGACCAAGTTGAAACCGTTGCTAGCTGAAGCTACTAAACAACGACTTGTGAGTTTTAAGTAATTTGTACTATACCTATTATCAAAAGGCTGTTAAGATTTTATTACTTGATCTCATGGTGACATTCATCGCAAGTTTTTATATATATAAGAGAGGAATGAGGAGTCTGTGAATTGTCGATTGCCCATACCCATTTTAGCAACATAATATATTATTAAACTTTGAAATATATAAACCAAATCGAGTACACCAAATACGCGCGCAGTCGTTTAGTTTTGATCGAGACACAGAATATGCGTACAGACGTTTAATTTTGATCGCGCGCAGTCGTTTAGCTTCGAACGAGTTCACAAAATATGCGTTCAGTCGTTAAGTTTTGCTCGTGTACTCACACAGAATATGCGTGCAGTGTCGTTTAGCTTCAATCGAGTACACAGCATATGCATACATTCGTTTAGCTTCGATCGAGTACACAGAATATGCGTGCAGTGTTGTTGTCATAAAAGTTGCGTAAAAGTAAAATAGTCGTTATTGCCAAGTAGAATGTTAGGTTAGATCTGTTTGTTAACTAAAATAGTTATTATTGCCAAGTAGAATGTTATGTTACATTAGTAAAAGATTGGAACAGACGATATGGACATAACAAGATAACGCAGAAATGAAATGCTCCTTTGTGGAGAAAAGAGAACGGAAACTTCAAATTGTATGTGCCAAAAGGGAGTCACCAGTTATTATAAATAGAGAGCTGGATTGTGAGTAGATTATCAAAAGGTTCTGAGTAGATTGTCAATAGATTGTGAACTGATCGTGAATAGATTGGTGATTAGAATCGAATTGGATGTAAACAGATAGAGAATTAAACGTAAAAAAACGAAAATACGAAAGATACAGTCCCTTGAATTAGGAACCAGCGTGTGCGAGCTTCCCTGAACGCGAAAGTCGTTTTAATAGCTTGAAGCTTCGATCGAGTACGCTTGAGTTCGACCCGGATTTGAGTTTGCGTAGTGTAAACGGGGCTTTAGAAAGCGTACATTTCCAAATACTTGGATACAGTCCTCACCCGCAGCTGATGTTAACGCTGAACGCTAATAAGATGGTCACAATATACTTCAGTTAAATGGCGAACGGTTAGTGTACACGGATTCGCGTACACGGCAACTGGGAATGGCGTACCGCGGTACCGGACATGCACCGGCTATTTTGAGAACTTTCAGTCATACAGGATTCTATAGATAGAAATAATAGATACAGTGATTTAGAGTAGATTTTGTCAAGACCACAGTACACATATTTTTGTTTCTACTTTCAACAATTTCTGAGCTATCAATGCGAAGCCCGGTTAACATCGTGCAGTTTTTCGCATCAATTCAGTTAACGTTCGGCTCAATGTATTTTGAAACAAGCATTTCGGTGGGGTGAATGCATCTAGTCACTTGCTAAGCATACGCTGCAAGCGATGCGCAGTGACGAATCGCTTACGCTTTTTAGTCAGTGTTATACATTATACACTTAATGTATGCTCCCGAGGGAAATAGTGAGTTTTGTTTTTCCAAGAGTCTCAATGTTTCCCGAGACGAAGTCAAGGGGAACATTGATACTCAAGGGAAAACAAAACTCACTATTTCCCGAGGTAGTGTTCATTGAGTGTTTTGTTATATAGGAACAAAAACATTTTAAAAAACCCCACTTTACTTTGTTATAACAAGAAGCGGGCAACAATTTTTCACTTGTTTCCCTGGCGGGAAACATTGCATTTATTAAAAGTCATGTGACTACGAATAAACCAATCACATGTAAAATACACAGAACCTATTTAACAAAGGGTGTTTGGTGTTATATGGTGTTATATGAGTTAGGCGATTAGTTGATTTTTAACATGACGTATTTGCGCGGTTGCTATGGAAATTACAATATGGCTGCCGGACGCCGGTCGAAGGGGAGTGAATTGTGTGTGTTCTTTCGAATTACTGCAAAATTTCTGTAGAATTACTATTTTAATTCAGTTAAAAAGATACGTTATTAGTTGTTATTAATAGAGGTTTCGGCCTGTAGTGTTTTTGATTGATTTGGTTAAGAAAATCGTGGCGATCACATGTGATTGTATTTTTCTTCCTCCTGGGCCATGTTTTACGGATAGTGTAATAATATCCTTTCAGTTTTTGTGCTTTGAACAAGCAGCTAGTAGGAAATTTCTAGCGTTGGCATTTTCTAGCGTTAGCTACTCAAAATGCTTGTTTGCAAAAGGCAAGAACTTCAGCTGGAAGTTTTTGTTCAATCGTTTGAAAGTTTAACACGAACATATTGCTGTTCAATTTATGTTCCATTACAAGTTATTTTGCTTTATCTGGCAAGAGTTTATAAGTAGTCTTTTTAATATATATTTATTACGGTGTATATTGGTTGGAAAATTACTCCTCTTTTAGCAATCTTCACCACTGGTGGCTGGGGAGACAGTGTAAGCCGTAATTATTTGAAAGCTTCTTTTCTCTAAATACAGTTATAAATGCTGTAAAATGCATGCCTCTCAATTCAACGTGTTCAAATGATGAATTTGTTAATCATCATGCAGAATGATTATGTAAGGGTAGTATACAGCTATATAGATTAAGATGTCAGTGGGGATATTTAAATGCACAATGATGGGATTGATTATTATTAAGTTTCCAAAAAATTATTATATTAATCTGTTTGATCACTATTCTCAAAAAGATACTGATATGGTAGACTTATTTAAAACTATCATACTGAATTCCATCATTCTTTAATCACATATTGCTAAAAGCAAAACATCAGAACCATACGGAGTGCTCTCGGTAAAACAGTTTTCTGGCATGTATTGACAAATTTTTGGGCAAACTATAGGTTATGTCAAATCACAATTAAAGAATTTTTATCGATTCCAGTCTGTGTTTTACTAATCTATAGTCCAAGTCCGTGTTTTACTAATCTAGTCGAGTCCGTGTTTTACTATATAATTCAGTCCAGTCCTCTTTTTACTAATTTAGTCCAGTCTATGAGGTTAATTGTATATGCCTATGAGGTTAATTGTCTAAATTGCTATTTTGTAAACTTAAAAGCTGTTAGTCAAATTATAAATTAGCACTTTTGCATTATATTACATCTTCACCATGACCTGGTTTGCTTAGTTTATGTATCATGGAGAAATATTGATATTAATTTGAAAAGAAACATTGAAGAAGATCAAATTAAGAAACATTTGAGCATTGAATTCATTCCAAACTAGCTGGCCTTGTCACTGATGCACTTCATTGTTGGTTATTATGGACATGCAGTCTTAATAATAAATAGTAAATAATTTACATTTTATTTTTTTAAAGGAAAGTGAAGAATATAGTGATATGTTTCAGTATGGTGCATTGTGTGGGGATTATGTATTTGTGCAAGAACTTGCAAAATTTCTCTCCAAAAGATATCATGATCCTGTGGATAGGTACAGTGTTGCCCAAGGGGTGAAGGGCAGTGAGCCATCCTTTCATCTGGTCCCTGGAGCTAAAAGGAGTCTCCAAAATAGTAAAAAGAGTCTAGAGTGATGTGTTATCATTTAGGAGATGTCGGGATGAAGTTTGATGTGAAAGATGCCATTATTGTCTTTGGTTAATTATTACATGTCCACTATCTCCATCTATGATCTATTAACTTCAATTTGCAAATATTTATCCACCAAAATCACACTCCATTTTCAGTGCAGTTATTATTTGGCACAAAAATATCAATATTATGACAATGACTTTCTTGAAAATATTTCTTGTTTTGCACTAGTCATGATATAGTCTGTACAAGTGGTGCAACAAATGGGCTCGTGATGATAACTCTAACAATGTTTCAACCTGGAGATTATATTTTTGTTGAAGATCCAACATATTTTATTGCTATACAGCTGTTTCGTCAAGATCTTGGCTTGAATATTCTTGCTGGTATGCATTGATTTTAATTTTTAAAGATTATGGCAGTGAACAATGTGAACATTTCCCTAATAAATACCAAAATAATCTGACCAAAAGAAAATCCTGGGGATAATTAGTTAAATCAAAATGCAAAAGATAGATGGCATAATTCGGGAAAAAAACAGTGACTGTAGATAATAGACATAAACTAATTTTAGTAATTTAGTTTAACAAAAGTTCTAAACTTCATTAAACGTTTTTAACTGTCACCTCTTCGCTAATTAGCAACCTGCATGGTAAAGTAATGTAGACATTATGCATTGTTTTTTTTCAGTTCCAACAGATGATGATGGGGTGAAAATAGATGTTCTGGAACAGTTAATTTTAAAGCACATGGATAAACTTGGGGAAACCAGCGAGGCACGACCATATCGTGCAATGTTTTATACTGCCCCTGTTTGCAATAACCCAACATCAGTGAATTTGCCACAAGGTTAGTCTAACTACACGATCAGAAATAATATTCATTTTTGCTGTAGTATTAACTCATAGCTGCCTACTTGCACCTGTTGGCACTAATGAGGTACAAACGTTACTAGTGTTTGCTTGCAACCGGTCATACTATTACGTTTTTATCTAATCATACTCAAATCCTATGTTAGTGTTACCAATGGTAAAATGTGTTGAGATTTTGTTCTGCTATTCAGGGTTCAGTTGCCCCTTTAAATTGTTGTCATATCATAGCTGTAGAAATTGATTTTAAGTTGGGAGCAGGGGCTAAAGCAGAAGTGTTAAGTCAATGAATCCTTTTTTTATAGCAGGGTTAGGTAAAGAGGAGCCTCTCTTTTCAGCTGCAAGTTCAGATTTAAATTTTTAGCAACAAATTCAGAAACACATTAAATTTAACCATGCTTGCTAATTTTTTTTTTTGGGGGGGGGCAAGTCCTTACATTAAGAATCATGCCTCCCACCCCACTTCCGTGGTGGTAATACTGTCAATATTTCCATTTAGAACGATGCTCTGCATTGATCAAAGTGCTAAGAAAATACAACATTCTAGCTGTGTGTGATGATGTTTACAATATAATAAATTTTGAATCAAAGCCGCCACCCCGTCGACTGTTTAATTATGATAAAAAGTAGGTGCAAAATATTAATAGCAGTTTATATTCTTTGCTAATCCCCGTTTCATTCGCCGTTTTTTACATCTGCGGAATATATTATATTAAAAGTGCATAAACTTATAAATCGATTATGATTTTTGGCACTTCACTCGATGTAGGTAAATTCTAGAGGTATAAAGGTCTTAATTTCGAGTGGAATTATACACACTTCAAATTCAAGCCAGGAACGGTTGATGTTCCCATCAACCGTTCCTGGCTTGAATTTGAAGTGTGTATAATTCCACTCAAAATTAAGACCCTTTATACCTCTAGAATTTACCCTCATCGAGTGAAGTGCCAAAAATCATAATCGATTTATACCCTCACCTACTCCCGGCATTACCATCCTATACACATTAACCACGCTTGCTCTTGCCAGCTACATGTGTAGCTCAGTGGCAAGAACATTGCACCTGCATCGCAAAAGCGCGGGTTCGATTCCTGCCGGAGGACAAGTGTGTTTTGGTGCGAAATATACATTATATATTAGCATTTGAAATGTGTATGTGACCGTATTTATTTACGTCACAGTTTTGTCTACCAAGAGTTGTAGTGCACAGCTTTGCCTTTGGCTAATTTTCCGATGTGCGGTTCGATTTCGCTCGCATGATACCGTTGATACGGCAATTCCTCCAAGAGGAACAAACAAACCGTTCTTTTGATGCTGTTCGATTAAGTTTAGATTTAATTGGGGTAAGAATATATTTAATACATGTAGATTCTGGTCCTATTTTAGTAATATCGCTGCTATTTCGCCGTTTAACAAGATGTGGTCGTGTATGGGCGCGTTTACACGTCGCATATTGCACAGGATTGAAGATTAATATAACTATATAAGCGCGAATTCTAAAGGCAAAGTGTAAGACAAAGCGAATGTATCAGACGTATCATGCAGTTTTTTTACATTTTTGATATACTTCTATACTTTTTAAAGTACGATGTGCTTCTGAATTTCGCGATCGAATAACATTTAGGTTGGCAAGGCATCTAAATGAGTATGAACTGTATTGTTTATGTTCAGAAGCTATTTGGCGTGTGCGGCAAGTCGGGGTTAATGCCAGAACAGGCATCTTGTTTTTCCATTAACTGTTTTTGAGTTGAATTTGAAGTGTGTATAATTCCACTCGAAATTAAGACCCTTTATACCTCTAGAACATACTAAACTTTGTAAAATTGCAAAGTTTGGCTGCGAAATATTGTAAAGTACGGAAAATATAGCCATGCAAAGTTGCCGGTTTACGTGTTTGGATAGCCTGATCCAAACACGGGCTTCGACCACCAGAGCACACATATCGATTATGCAAATATTTCGAAATTTCGCATCGAAATTTTTCTGTTTTGAGAGTTGGGTATAGCCTGGTGTTAACAATTATATGAGTTACTGATAGATGAATTAATGTTTTTAGATCAGACAGTGATTACAAGGGTCACGTGGTATCAAATGGATCATTTAGTAAAATAGTCGCTCCTGGAATGAGATTAGGTTGGCTCGAGGCTCCTAAAATTATCCGGGACAAAGTTATCTTCAGGTTGGTTTAAGATGTGACATGAACGTTGTTTATTTTCTTCAAACGAATATGCAATAATAATTTCTATGACTACCATCACCAACACCATAATATGGTTAACACTCGTTTTTACACCACTGTGAAATACTACTATGATCATCACCATTGAGTATATGTTCGTCTTCAACACAGTGCAACCCTGTCCAGCGGAGGTGGCCTGAATCAATACACATCGGCTATTATGGGTACAGCTCTGAAGAACGAAATTCTATCGTCGTATTTCACGGACATGATATCAGATTTGAAAGTGAGTATTCTCGCTTCTAATGTAACTATAGCCCCGTTTACACTACACTCAATTTATTAGCACGGCACGGCTAAAATGGGCACCCGTACCCATTTCATCTGTACTCGGCCTTTGTTTTGGTAGCCTGAACACTGATAAAATTGGGTACGGGTGCCCATTTTAGCCGTGCTGTGCTGATAAATTCAGTGTAGTGTAAACGGGGCTTATATTACTTAGGGTCCAGCTAGGTATATCTGTATATATGCATGCAACAATGCCAGCTGTCGTAGTTTGTTGTTTGAATACTGGAAAATACAAAAATGCTAAAAGATCTAATGTTGGTGGTTATCGTGTATATATCTGTGTTCAGGTTAGCTGATATGTCACTAACAAACTCAGTCATGTTGCCGTCTAGCTAAAATAGTCATTATTACTGCACAATATAATGAAATGTTTACGTTCAGAGAAAGATGGAGTTGATGTGTGAAGCTCTTGATAAATATGCAAAGCAGTATGTGAAATACAGAAAACCCACGGTAAATATATGAAGTCGAAGGAGCTATACTATAGCCCGCGTGTATATACTAGATAATTTCGACCGATTTACCCGTTTTCCTCCGTTTATATACAAAATATTTCCAAAATATAGTTTATTTTGAATTTCCAATTTAGGGAGGATATTTTGTTTGGGCTGAACTGCCCTCCAACTGCGACGCTGAAGGTGATAGAATAGAGTCCATAATTTTAGTTTGTTTCTCTTACCTCTCGGACTTAAATGTGTATTTCAACACGTGAGAAATAATACCGGCTGGTGTGTAAATCGCACTAAAGCCTCGCTTGCACTACACTCAATTCATTGGCACGGCACGGGCTGCACGGCTAAAATTGGTACCCGTGACCAGTTTTATTAGTGTTCAGGCTACCAATACAAAGGCCGAGCACAGATGAAATTGATATGGGTACACATTTTAGCTCTGCCGTGCCGATAAATTTAGTGTAGTGTAAAGGAACTTTAAAAGTCGTTTTTTGAAGATAAATCATTTTTATAATAATATATTTTTCTATTTAGCTTTCGCGAAATATTGTGAAGAGAAGCACAAAGTAGATATGCTTCCAGGACCAAAGTATGTCGTTTTTCAGGGACGTAGCCAGTGGAAGGGCGGCTCCCCCCCTCCTCACCCATTTGAAAAAATTATTGCTAATATATGCTTACTTCAAAATGAATTAATTTAATTAAGAAAAGTTAAATCTACTCAATCTTTCAAGTATGCTTGTTTTATTCAGCCTGGGCTGAAACTCAGTGTTGTTGTCGTAAAAAAAATTCGACCCGGGCAGTAAAAATCGGCTTGACAAAAAAGCTTTTTCATTTGTTTGTTTCATTTTTATTTGCAATCACAGTTCCTTGAAGGTCAAGTTATTGTCATTCAAGATGTTAAAGTGCTCAAAGAATCGAAATAGGTCTACTACCAGCCCTTTACTAACTCGGGCAGGGCTGAAATTTTACCCTGGTTCATGATAAAATAATTCTCACGTGTCATAGACTCAGCCCGGGCGGAAACTTTCCATGTAATTGAAAAATACTTTCGGCCCGGTTAGACGAGCTGAAACTTTAACTTCACGGCTACCCCCCTCCCCCCGCCCTCTTTAAGGTCTGGCTCCGTCCCTGGTCGTTTGTATTATGCATTTTTATACATATTATGTAGGTTGTAGAAAGTATAATTTCTGCCGCCGCGTGAGGCTTCTGTTGTTAGGAGATTCAATTGCTTACTTTAGTTTTTGGAAAGGCTGTATAATAAAATGTTTTATCTTTGTATTGCCTCCTTTTTTTCTCTTGCTTTCTCATTTGAAAAACATTCTTCCAAACTCCATAAACTATGGCATCTCAGGGATCTAATATTTAAAAATTGTCTCCACAATTATATCCCGAACTTTTGTCGAACATTTTCTTTAATTACCTACATTTTCTGACAACTTGCAAACTTCATTACTAAGATTACTACACGATCACCACTGTTTTACTAGACATCAAAATAGGTTTATTTTCTATTCCACTTTTTTTAGCTGCTCACCCTGTGGCAATTTCAAAAACTTTGTCCGATTATGCTTTGCCTTCCCGACCGAAGAAGAAATAGAGAAAGGTGTCCGAGAAATAGGAACAGCACTCACTGAGTATTGTAGTTAATGAAATCAAATGACTTCGAAATAAAGTTTCACCAATAATTCTTTGTTATGAATGTAAGTATACTTTAAAAGTCTGCATTATTTTTTGAATCAATGCACAATTTTATGTCTAATTTTGCAATTAAAATGTTTTCACAATATCCATAAGAATTTATAGTATGTCAATAGAATATTCCATAGTGTTTCCTGGACGAGTTTCTTTGGTTTGGCCTGTCGTGCCTGCATGGAAAATTGAATTTTTGTTACCTATATTGTACGTTATATCACGTATATTGACTAAGGCTATGTGCACACGGTAATGTTTTTCAGTGGGCATTTTCACATTCGTTTTCATGCCAAAACGGTTTCAAACACCGTCAATTTACAATGGAAATTTGAAGCTAATATTAAGCATATCTTTTCTAGACAAAAACGAGTTTAAAAACGCGCGAAAACGACGCTCGCGTGCACATATCCTAATTGAGTAGGAAAAGAAGCAAGTGATAAATACCCACTGATCTGATCTAATATAAATGCTTCTTAAGTTCACTTGCTTTTAAATCTTTTACTCTTATCGGGTCGTTGATGGCTTAAAGATAACAATGAATCAGTTCTTGGCTTTAGCCGTGGTCAAACGAGTTTCAGAGATAACTAACAGGAAGTACTTTGCACGCGAGTTAGAATTAAAGGTTCATTGTCTGTCAGCAAAATTTGAACAACAGGGAAGAAGCAAGAAAAATTAAGAAAAGAAAACTTGAAAATGAAATTGGTGGTAAGATTGTCTCAGAAATGGCAGCAGTGATGGGCTTCTCTGGATTTGGGGGGAGCAAAAAGTACGCAATGTTACGAATGTCAAGACAAACTAGAAAACATTGCATTATACGTTTTGATTGTAGAGAATTTGTTTCCTTTTCACGTTCATAAAACTTGTTTTTTAGTAAAATCTAAGTGTCAATGCTTGTTTTAAGCTTTTATTCATGATCAGATGAGATGGATGTGTGTATAAAAAACCGGCGGTGTTTTGGTGGTGTAATTTCAACTCTTGGCCTTCATGGCGGCTATCAGTGCTGGCTTCAAAGATGGCGGCCAAGTTATCGTTCCCATATGATCGTTCCTATGATCGTTCCATTTCCAGTCTTTTTAGAGTTCACTGGAAGGAACATAGAGATTATAAATAACACTAAAGGCTAATTTCAGGCTAATTTCCACTCCGGAATCTCCGGAAAACGAGCAGCGGATCGGATCGGATTTTTTTTCCGAGCTGGTCCGATCCATGAAGGATTTCGTATCGGATCAAAAAAATTTAAAACTATTTGAACTTTTTTTATCCGGTCTCGGACGCTTTCGGATCAATATAAGCCAAAAATTTAAACAGACGGCGCACGCGCGGATTATCTTTCGTTCCGATCCGATCCGCTGCTCGTTTTCCGGAGTGGAAATTAGCCTTAACGCGCTCCCCCATTAACGCGCTCCCCATTTTCTCCTCGATGACCCCTCTAGCACAGAGCATACAGAGGTTTGACTGCCATTAATTTTGCGTACCCTTCGCTTAGCCAGTGCGCTCAAAAGAGGCCTTCTCCCCCGGGAAAGCATGCATATGGCGGCGGCTTGAACACATGTATGGAATATAAACAGCCGAGACAGAACTATCTGGAGAAATCGTATTTTTGACAAAAACGTTGCTCAATTTTTTTCTCAAAACCAGATTTTGTTAGTTCTTATCCTTTAGAAGAGGATAGAAGTGGGAGCGATCTGTTTATTTATATAGCGATGGCTATTTATAATGTTCGGGGGGAATCGAGCCTCTCTTTACCATAGAGATTATAAATAACACTAGAGGAGGCATTGGTATCGGAAACATCAGTCAAAAAAGGGAGCGCGATAATGGGGGGCAAATTCAAGTCCCGGATGCTAAGCCAAGCGCTGATTGGCTAGATCAATGCCTCCTTAGCAACCACGTTAGCAACAATTTTAAAAAAGTTATATTCGTTATTTAGGTCGCTTTGCCGGTTTTTTAAGGAAAAACAGTGCTTTTTGAAACTGGTTTTACTAACTTAGACATCCTGAGACGATATTTTAGGCAAAAAAACATTTAGAAATAAAAAAAACTCGTTAAAAACGACATATTTTGGCCTCGGACATCATGAATGAGTGAACATCCGGGACTTGGATTTGCCCCCCATTAACGCGCTCCCCAATTTCTCCTCGATGACTCCTCTAGTTTTATTTATAATCTCTATGCTCTTTACCCACTGAGCTATAATATAATTCCTGGAGGACCGGCTCGCGACCAAAAAGTGAAGCAAAAAACATGGCGGATTTCGGCGTTTGCTGACGCCAGATTGACGCCACTGGTTCCTATTCGCCATGGTAGTTACCACTGACCAAGGCTCAATTCTGAGCCCGCTACAAATGCACTCCCCCCTGGTTTTTGTTAAAAATAGTATTCAGTTCTCATTATTATATTTTCCGAAAAAAATTTAAACGTCAGTCAATATTTTTGAACTGAAAACTTTTTGATCAGATATGTTAGACGTTTTTGTGAAGATATCAAAGTCGTACACGTTACTTCTGTCAAAAACAGGAAACAAATAACAGATAAATAATAAAACTTCAAGAAATTTCCCGAAACGAAAATGCAGTTGACTGACAGGTAAATATATTATTCATAAATTTCATTTTTTAGATAAAACTTCACCATTTTTTTTCGTTAACAGTCTTTAGATAGATGTCGTTGTTTATATATTTTAATATTTGACCAAAAGACGGCGGCACGAGAAGTGAAATGTATAGTTTGAAGTTTGAACAACTACTAAAAAGATTACCCTATACTTTGGAAGTAATTTATTTTTCATATTACATACATATTTCAGGCATTTTCTTCCAAAGAACGCTAAAAGGTAACATGATGTAAATTCAAGTCCAAAAAAACAGAGGCTAACTGGCTAAGAATCATTGGGAGGATGAAGATGTGCAATTTCAACCAAGGGTAGCCTGCCTATTTGTTTAGCTGGATTTCATTAGCCAGAAGAAATAGTTTTTCTGTACTGAACTATATCAGCATATATCATGTATATTGATGAGCTTATTAGCCTAAACCTATAAGGATGGACTATCAAATTAAAAGCTTCCAGCAGTCAGCACCATGCAGTGGTCAGCACTATAATTGTCTGACTGCACAGGCCATGCTCTTTCCATGGTATAAAACCAATAATTATGGCCCCTGTGCAGGTCATATGCTTTTCTATATTTGCAAATGATAATGCAGAGGCTGCATTAAGGAAGATTAGAACCAGGGATGTTTATAGGCCAAGATATCCATGGTAATTATTATTGATTATATGCAAAAGGGGCTTACCAGCTTCTCCCAGATTAGCCTGCAATGACTGGAAAGGTTCTTTGGAAATGAAATAAACAAAGCCTTACCAATTGTAATATTTATTTTCTTTTAATAAAACATTGTAATTTATAAAAATAATAAAACAGTTTCTGTATTTAAGAATGTGTGCGGTTCATGGGTATAATAGTATGGTTGTCTCAATTTAATTCTCCAGAATTTTGCATAACATGCCTCCACTTGATCTACCAAACCCTATATTATCCCTGCAAAAAGAAAGATATGTCAGAGATTAACTGTATGTATAATACACCCTGTAAGTGTTGACAAAATTAGTACAGATAATTTAGTGTCAGCTACTGAGGCCATGATGATGCCTCAGTTGGAAGTGTGAGTGAATTTAGTCAAGTTATTCTCAGACCTTGCTCCTTCAGATTATATTTTTGTTCCTATTGCATCCTTTATATACTTTGATGTAATATATCTTGTATGATTTTTCATGAAAAGATGGGCTATAGACACATTGATGATTGATCTGGTTAGACCTGAGTTTTGGCTCAACTTCATGGATTTAAATCAGTGTAAAATATAATGGATAAACAAATATTAATAGAAATATGTTGTAGTTAAACAAATTAAATGTTAGTAAATATATCATTTCTGTTTTCAGATCTTTCATAGCCGTCGAACTACGAAGCTATATTTTTTACTTGACGTTCAGAGTTCAAACATCAAAATTGCGAAAGCCTGTTTAAAACTCTTACCTGAGTGCAAATCGCCAAAAATTTCCTCTTTAATGAGTAAATTGCGGTAGGAACAAGCAGAGCAAATAGCTGCTTCTTTGTTGAAGTTGAAAAGAACCAGCAAAAAAGGAAAAAAATCCATGTTTTTGTTCAAAAACAAAAAATTTTGTAAAAACCAAATCCTGTTTTTATCGAAAACCAGGAGGGTGCTCGCATTTTTTCATGCTTTGGATCGCGGTTGGTCAGTGGTAACTACCATTGCAAATAAGAACCAGTGGCGTCAATCTGGCGTCAGCAAAGGCCAAAATCCGCCATGTTTTTTGCTTCACTTTTTGTATTTCAAAACATTAGGAGCCGGTCCTCCAGGAATTATATTATAGCTCAGTGTCTTTACCGCACTGGCTAACAACATGGCCGCTAGGAACGCATAATTAAATAAATTAATGCAAGGTCAACTCAATCTCTATGGGAAGGAACACATCTGCACAATTCCTCAACAATTTAAAAAGTTCCTTAAAAAGTTCCTACTTCCTGTTTCATTGACCAATCAAATTTTATATTTTATTTTTGAGCAATCTGATTGGTCAATGAAACAGGAAGTTAGGAACTTTCTAAGGAACTTTTCAAATTGTTGAGGAACTGTGTAGATGTGTTCCTTCAAGTTAGGAAATGAACTGGTCAACATTTCTCGGAACGCTTCTATTGGCACGACTGTGTCTGTAAGGCTTAAAAAGTACAACAATTTAACAAGCATTGGTTTCCGCTAATGGAGTGAAGTTGCTTATTGTTGTCAAAGCAAAGGTACTCAGAACGACTTAATTGTAGAGACACGGATAAGGTTTTGGACATTAATATTTCGGTGCTCGGACTTGGCTGTTAGCCGTCCATCTTACTGTTTGGAATGAATGCTAAGCTGATTTAGGGACCACCTGATTACCTTTGAAGCATTTTCGCCTATTTTAATGGTGACCATTGCTGTCCCTAAAGGACAAAATTAAGGCGAATTATCGCGAAATTTATAAGTTCAATTTTTAAGTGCAACGCAACGACAACAACCGACAAGGCGACAACAACCGATCGGGAAACTCGGAGAAAGGCCGATTTCACTTATTTAGTTATTCGGTGAGTAAAGTAAAATATAATAGACCTTTCTATAATGACGTCAGACGCGGAACGGCTGATGCTACACGAAATTTAATTGGCTCCACAAAACTATCGAGGCAATCAAACTTCGTGTAACATCAGACTTTCCGCGTTTGACGTCAATATGGAAAAGGTCTATTACCAGACATTTAAATTTCATAGCTCTGGGTACGACTGAGATAATTTGACTAGCTAGAGAATTAAATTGATGCATATATTTGCAGATAATCACTCCGAGTATCGAATAAATGGCAGATTCAAGCACAAAAGAGACTTCGAGAATGGGAATAAATGCAAGGAATCAATTTGAGAATGATGGAGTTTTAAAACCCGGCGTAGTGGCATTTGGAATAGGTGCTCCGTCCTTTGCAATGATGGCGAAATTAAAACCATTGCTAGCTGAAGCAACCAAGCAACGACTTGTGAGTTTTAGGTAATTTGTACTATCAAAAGCCTGTTACTATTTTATTACTTGATGCCAGAAGTTGTTTGCAAAGTATAAATCCAATTACACCTGATAATAGTTTGCCAATCACTGGCAAATAGTTTTCATGTAGCAAATAGTTTTTAAGCATGTTGTTAGATTGTTGACAAGTTGCTTGAATATTAATCACTATTTGGCAATCACATGCAATGGGCAGATTCTTTCTTTGGAAGAGTTTCTTTTAGGCCTATCTACACGATGCGATTCGTATCCTGGCGTATATATTCGAATAAGTATGTGCAAAAATGTCACATTTTAAACTTAGTTATAAACTGATGACAGAATGAGTGGCGTCGGCAATCGTTTTCATATGTCAGGATAATGCCGGATTTCCATTCAGTGCAAAATGTGGTGCGATCGAATTCTTGCGATGCTTTCTTTTGAAATGTGTTCAGTCAAGCTAATCTAATGGGGTGAGTAACAGTGAAGCCAAGATAGCGGACAATGAAACCTCTCTTGTAAGTACACTGGGTGAGTTCCGCTTGACACTTCGTATTTCAAAACAAAGCGATCGCAAAAAGTCGATTGCGCGACATTTTGCACTGAATGGAAATCCACCTTATCAAGGGCTGTTTTCCACTAGGCGGAGTTTTTCGCTCGATTTTCTTTTCAATTCAGACCGGTGAAGGGAATCCGCTACGGTCGAATTCTCACAATTGAAAAGTCGAACGGAAAATTTCGTTCGGTCGAAAAATTCCGCCTAGTAGAAGGCCGGTTTTCCACCAGCGGTAAGTTTTCGCGCGAAGCGACATTTTACTTTTGTCTCAGAGCTGTCAACTGCAACGATGTGGACCAAATTGCTGAAATACAAGAGAATAAAGTCGCTTCGCGCGAAAAATATCGCTGGTGAAAACCGGTTTAAGAATCGTATACGATTACGTCGCCTTGCCCGATTTTTGGGACCACTTGCCATGCAGGCTACGTGTAGATCGGCCGTTTGTAAATACCCAGCCTAGTCCCTAGGCCTCATTGCGCGTGCTTTATATCTCCGTGACGTGAGATCGCGTGTAATAACTAAACGAACGCATAAGGGGCCTAGGGGTTGTGCTGGTAAATACCAGACATTGGAGAGTACTGGTAATCAGTGATATGAAATGGGGTTAAGGTTTACTCTAAACTGCTAATTAGTAAACATTGAAGCTGTTAGTCAATAATAAGTTAAGCACTTTTGCATTATATTACATCTTCCTAATTCAGCCCAACCTGGTTTGGCCTTGTCACTGATGCATTTCATTGGTTATTATTATTAGGCATACTTACCTGGACAGTCTGAATAATAAATAGTAAATAATGTACATTTTATTTTTTCAAAGGAAAGTGAAGAATATAGTGATATGTTTCAGTATGGTGCATTATGTGGAGATTATGTATTTGTGCAAGAACTTGCAAAATTTCTCTCTAAGAGATATCAAGATCCTGTGGATAGGTACAGTGTTGACCAAAGGGGAAAGGGCAATGAGCCATCCTTTTGTCTGGTCTCTAGAGCTAAAATGGGTCTCCTAAATAGTAAAAAAAGGCTACAGTGATGTTTTATGGTTTTGTAACGTTGGACCTCAATACTGGGTGTGTCGGTGTCCAAGGGACCGTTAGCATTTAGCTTTACTGAACCAAACTTTCAATCAAGTACTTCAGGTTTCCACCATCGTCGTAATAGGAATCAGCCCCACACCAGTCAAGTGTTGGAATATATTTCTTTCTTCTACGTACAGCTTTCGTATATATCTTTCTCTAATATATTGTGTGGAAGCGTTTATATAGTGCTCGCATAAGCTAATTATGACGTATTTGGCGCGCATATACTATAGTAATACAATCCGATACAATAAGGTAACTGAAGTTCCACGATTACCATCCACGATTATCATCAGTAATTCACAAGACCGAGTTAGCGCTGTGAATTAGTACTGCTCAAGCGCTGTTTCAAAAGCGTAACTTTTACTTAAGTTTATATATGAATTCCTTGTAGCTGCGTTCTAGCGCTGCTAGAATTACGTCATCTACTATGTCACATAACTTACGAGATTATGCAAATGTTATACATTCAAAACTACGCTACAGTTTAATGGATGAAGTTCAAAGTGGAGGATTTCATATCATTGTTCTATCTTTTCTAGTTTTAATTATTACCTGTCCACCATTTTCATGTTAGTAGCTTCAAATTGCAAAAATTCATCCACTGAAACTCATCCCCAATTTCAGCACAATTATTAACAGGCACACCCAAATCAATGTTATGAAAATTACTTTTACTTACAGTAGTAAAAATTTCTTGTTTTGCATTAGTAATGATATAGTCTGTACAAGTGGTGCAACAAATGGCCTCATGATGGTGACTCTAATGATGTTTCAACCTGGAGATTATGTTTTTGTTGAAGATCCAACATATTTTATTGCTATAAAGATGTTTCGTCAAGATCTTGGCTTGAATATTCTTGGTGGTATGCCAATGATTTTAAAGGTCATTCAGTTAACAATGCAAACGTTTTTTGCCAAAGTATTCTGACCAGAAGACTTTAGGGATGAGGTTGATCAATCAAAATTTTTAATAATTCTTCAGGACCGAAAAAAAGCTAATGCATGACTAGATATAAATGAACTCTAATTTTAGTTCAGCCAAGTTCTAAAGAGTTTTTGGAATGTATATTTACCTAATTTACGATTTAACTTTTTTCTGTATTACATTTCTTCAGTAGTACCAGCTGTTTAAAAATAGTTACATCAGATTGGTCAGAACTTCGTTATGACCGGTCTGCTAATAGATTTAGTCTGCTTCATACCAAGTTTTAACAAGCTGCCTGGTAAAGTAGTTAATGTAAACATTATGTACGTTGTTTTTTCAGTTCCAACAGATGATGATGGGGTGAAAATAGATGCTCTGGAACAGTTAATTTTAGAGCACATGGATAAACTTGGGGAAACCAGCGAAGCACGACCATATCGTGCAATGTTTTACACTGTTCCTGTTTTCAATAACCCAACGTCAGTGAGTTTGCCACCAGGTTAGTCTAGGTAACAAAGGCCGAGATATTATACATTTTTCCTGCACTAATACATCTACTTGCACCTGGTTTCACCATGCAATTAGCTCAGTGTTATGTTTTTATAGCTTCTGTTAACGTCACATATTGTGTTTCCAATGGTTTAATGCGTTAGTGTATTATGTTCTGCTATGTAGAGTTCATACTGTCTGAGAAGGCCCTTTAAATGGTTATTATACCCATATAGCAGTAATTCTGTCAATATTTCCATTTAGAGCGATGTTCTGCACTGATCAAAGTGCTAAGAAAATACAACATTCTAGCTGTGTGTGATGATGTTTACAATATAATAAATTTTGAATCGAAGCCACCACCCCGTCGTCTGTTTAGTTATGATAAAAAATACGTACAAAGTAATAATAGCAATTTTTATTGTCTGCTAAGTCCCGTTTCATACGCAGTATTTCACATCCTAAGTTTAATGTGTTCATGCAGTATGCATGCAGAAACCTCTAAAAATACGACGTATGAAACGAGCTTAATTTCTAATTACTTATTTTCATAGTAACCATGCAGTTTACCCATTTGTACAATGGGAATTGTTCATTTGTTCCAGTCAGTGGGAGGAGAGAATACAATTCGTATACGAATTATTATAATAATTCAGATGTCGTAATTATGTGATAATTCAGATGTCGTTGTCCTGTTGGTTATTATGCAAAATCCGACACGACCGAATTACAATAAGTTACAGCATGTGAATTACAAGTTTCATTAATGTTCTTAGATCAGACAGTGATTACAAGGGTCACGTGGTGTCAAATGGATCGTTTAGTAAGATAGTCGCTCCTGGAATGAGATTAGGTTGGCTCGAGGCTCCGAAAATTATCCAGGACAAAATTATCCTCAGGTTGGTTTAAGACGTGACTTGGATGTTCAAACGAATATGCAATAATAATTCCTATGACTACCATCACATCATATGATTATCACTCGTCTTTACACCACTATGAAACACTGCAATTAATATACGATCATCACCATGCATTGACTATATGTTCGTCTTCAACACAGTGCAACCCTGTCCAGCGGAGGTGGCCTGAATCAATACACATCGGCTATTATGGGTACAGCTCTGAAGAATGAAATTCTATCTTCGTATTTCACGGACATGATATTAGATTTAAAAGTGAGTATTCCCTCTTCCAATGTGACTAAACTTAGGGTAGCTAGGTAGTCTTCATGCACGGTAAAACTAGGTAATCATGCAAGAATAGCCGCCTGTCGTTGTTTGTTGTTTGCATGAAAAAAATATACTCATTAAGAGAAATATATCCATAAATTCTATAATGGGCGGAGGTTACTCTACAGTTTTTTTTCTTAGCGAGGTGATCCAATGCTGGTAGTTTTTTTAACAGTATTAAAGCTTTCCGTAGTATTTTGAGATAAAAATATACGTTTCTTTCTGCGTCAACCTTTGGCTTTCCTCTCACAATCTTATAGGTATTTCTCAACCTTTATTTAAACTTAAAGTTGATTATAAATAAATATAGTGCATGTTGAAGTTGACTATTATCGGCCACTATCATGCATGCAACCAGGTTTTCATTGATGCTTTCTCAAATACTGCAAAAACATAATGAAATGTCTACTTTCAGAGAAAGATGGAGTTGATGTGTGAATCTCTTGATAAATATGCGAAGCCGTATGTGAAATACAGAAAACCCACGGTAAATATTTCTATATATAGTAGCTATAGCCCGTTAATATATACTGTGTAAGTTTTTGGCCCAGTTTCCATCTTTCATAAGTATGCATATGTATACAGTAGGAGGCAAAAGTTTGAGTCCATGCAGTGATTGTATTTCATTGTTTTAGCAGCATATATACTAATTTTCTACAGAAAACCTTCCCGATAAGTGAACTGGAAAAAAGTAAATAAGTATAAACTGAAAAATACATGCTGTACAACAACTATGAGATGTTATGATATTCATTTAACGTATGTTAATGTGCAAACATGCATTACATGTCAATGCTTAGTATCCCTCTTTTTTGTTCTTGAAGCGGCCTTTATTCTTGCTGGCATAGATTCCATAGGTTTTTTAATGTCGCACGTTCTTTACCTTGCCAGCATTCGTTGACCACTTGCCTCAAGTCATCCTGGCTGGTGGTCTGTATGCCTCGCCCTTTTCCGGTTAAAACGGTCCTACAAGTGCTCCATAAGTTTTAGATCTGGAATTTAAGGTGGAAAGCCATGAGAACGAGATCACCAGAACGAGTTTGCTTCTAAAAGATTTCTGGCACATAGAAGATGTGCATGTGCTTAGGGTGATTATCATGTAGTTGGACGCGTGATCATCTTTGTACCAGATGAAATTCCATGTCCTCGAAGAATTGGATGACACTTTTCTTTAATTAGGATACTATTATATTTTTCAATATTGCCAACCCCAGCATGTCCGAAGCAGCTAAAAGTTTGCTTGAGTAGGATTTAGTTTCTTCGAACCTCTCTAAGGTTAGTTGTATACCACCTTTTGAAATTCTCACTTTTTCTGCGATCTTACGAGGAAAGAATTCTTCAATGAAACTATTTGTCCTTGTGCACCATCACTTTGCCCTTTTTCCCACCCATCTTGGGCAGTGTAAAGGAATAAGAACTTTATTTTGTTATAATTTACATCATTAGGACCAAAACAGTGTGCAATTAATATGGTTTACAGTACTGAAACACTAACACGCATGTCTTAACTCGAATACGCTGACAGGATTTAATACTGGAATTCTACAACGACTGGACTCAAACTTTTGCCCCCTACTGCATGTATATATATTTTTTTATAATATTATATATATTATTTTCATATACGTAACAAATATAGTTTATTTTCATACGTAACAAATTACCAATTTAGGGAGGATATTTCGTTTGGATTGAACTGCCCTCTAACTGCGACGCCGAAGGTAATAAAAGACTCGATTTTCGAACTATATACACTTAATAGTTGTATAAAGTTTTCCTTGCATGTATAAATTAGTTTGCGTCCTCCCGACATTAAGGCATTATATTTTTGTTTAAGTTTAACTATTTCTCCGCTTACCCTCGGACTTGCATGTGTATGCATGATCATACTATATATTATCTATATATACGAGATAATTTACCCGCCATACAGTAATTAGTGTGTAAAATCCGGCGTGATGTAAAATATGCATGAATAATAATATATTCCTATTTAGCTTTTACGAAATATTGTGAGAAACACAAAGTCTCTATGCGTCCAGGACGAAGGTATATATATGTTCGTTTGCTGTTTGCATTTTTTTTATGTGTATATATATACTATATGTCTATGTATAATAAGAACTGTGATTTCTACTGCTGCTAAAGCTCGACCTTGCTTCACAGTGAGCTAGGGTTTAATTCCTTTCTTTTGGGGAAGAGGGGCTGTGTATAACGTTATAATTTTAATGTGGTGTCTCCTACTTCTTTATGCTTTAATTGCTATATGCACGACAAACCTTTGCATCAAAATTGTATAAAACTTTCCCACAAACTGCAAAAATAATGACATCTTAAGGTCTTGTATATTTAAATATTTTCTCAGGCTATGTGCACACGAGCGTCGTTTTCGAGCGTTTTCCAAATCGTTTTGTCTATTTTATTTTATAGTAATATAATTATATAAAATATGTTTAATACGTTAAATTAGCTTCAAACTCTATTGTAAATTCACGGTGTTTGAAACCGTTTTGATATGAAACGATTATGATACGATCTCCACAAAGAGCCGAAGCCATGCAAAACCTTTTTAACACTTCGAGATAAATGCCACTGCGAGACAAATGCCATTAGTTTGGTGAGTATACATTCACACCTTCACCCATTAGTTTGCAGAGTCTTACACCTTTGCCACCATTTTCTGACAGCTTGCAAACTTTTCAAATAAGCTTACTACACGATCACCGCTGTTTTGAAAGACATCAAAAGGTGCCTTTTTTAATATTCACTTTTTTAGATTCTCACCCAATGGCAATTTTAAAAACTTCATCCGATTATGCTTTGCCTTCCTGGCCGAAGAAGAAATAGAGAAAGGTATCAGAGAAATAGGAACAGCACTCAATGAATTTTGTGGCTAATAAAATCAAATGACTCGAAAATAAAGTTTTACCATGCAATAATTCTTTAGTAAGTATTGCTACTTCAAAAGTCGGTAATATTTTTTTTAATCAATGCACAATTTTAAATGCCTAAATTTTATTAATATTAAGCAATTACTATATTAAACAATTTACACAATATCTATAAGATATTTTATAAGATGCACGTCAATAAAATATTTCATAGTTCTTCCTGGACAAGTTTCTTTGGTTTGGCCTGTCGTGCCTGAAAAATTGAATATTTGCTCCATGTACGTTATATTGACTAAGTGCATGAGAAGGTTAAAAAATACTAATTTACCCCTTTAGTTATAACAACGCAAGGCAAACTGATTACAATTGGCTTGAATTAAAATAAGAAACTTGCCTTTCCCCTGAGAACACTTAGTCCCGTTTCAGACGTCAAACTTTTCATTTGCCGAATTAAATGCAAATGAACAAAAACCTTGCATTAGGTTCGGCGAATGAAAAGTTCGACATCTGAAACATGCCTTATTTGCTTGCGGAGGTATATTGTACCATAGTCTGCATGGGTGTAATTTTTTAACAGCCATACCTTCTCCACCAAAGCTACAAGTTTTCCTTCTTTGCCAAGCACTTTTAGTAACTCAACGATAAGAGGAAGGTAGTTGTGTTTTCTACGCACATTTTCAACCTTGAAAAATTAAGTGAGCGGGTTATATTCTATGATCGAGTTGCGCTATTTCCTATATTGTGGTTTACCAAAAGCTCCACTAATATTACATAAACAGGGCTAATACATAAAATGACCTTCCTTTAATAATCATGTCACGAGTGTTTCCATGCATAGCCTTGTTCTTGTGGAACAAAGCGAAAAAATATTTACACCTTTCCCACACCCTCCGGAATGATTGGTGACGTGAGGATCGAAAACGAGCATTGTTTGGGTTTTGATGTGTTAGTACTGCATCATGTTTTCCCTGTTCTGTAAACCTTTGACTGTATAGTTATTAATGTGAAAATTCTGCTTAAAAGATTGTCCCGTACTTTGTAGCGAAGCATTTTATCATCCTCGGCGGCAACTAGACCTTGATATTTTGCGATGTTTGCTTCAATATTTTGAAGGCTTGTTGTGCTGTCTATCTCCATTGATTCTGCTCCCTGTAATTTGAAATAAAAAGCATGCATATAATACTGTTTTGAACATTTCAAGCGCACATAAAAGCTGATTTCCACTAGGCGAACTGAGAAAGAAGTAATTTGATTGGCATTCAAAAAAACACTGACTACATCACAGGCCAATCACGTTCGTTAATTGCTTGTTCTCGCGAACAAATTCGCCTCGTGGAAATCGGCCTAAAGAAGTATATTCCCATGCATGTATTCTGCACAAATTTGTCTCTGTCTCTTTGGTGCAAGGCTTTTCACGAGGTATGGTTTCCATTATGTCGTAATTATCGCGAGCAAGTCCTTTTCCTCGTCTTCATTTATTCAATTCGGACGGTTCTATACAACTAGATACAACTGAACACACCCACGACAATTACGACTTAAATGGAAAGCATCGATAACAACTGTGCTAAACGAAAAATATAAAAAATGACAATTCTAACAAAAACGTCGAATGTATGCAACTGTTTCCCGATCCATATTTATCTCCGCGACATTTTCCGAGAAAACGAGTAGCTCGTCGAACCATGTGACCAACGGCATTTATCTTTTGCACGAAATATCGCTATTAGGTAGCTATAATGGGATAAACTTGGATAAACAGAGCGAGAGGTGCCGAAGTTGTAGATTAGGGATAAATATAAACAGCAGATTTATCGAGAAGTGTACATGTGTCTGGAGAGGTGTTCTCATATTTTCTTGAAAGAAACAGAATGTGGTCACCTGTTCAAGGAGTTGTCTCTTCTGGTGATTAAGGGCTTCAATTTCTTTAAGAAAGGCTTGTTTTCTGTCCGACACGACAGCCATAAGGTTAAAATGAATTTCTTCTGATGAATATCTGAAGATGATGAACAGATATCTATAGGTTATGGACACAATTTATATCGTTCGGCTGAGTTCAGTAGCAACGACTATGTGGCAATTGACTATGGTGTCTACAGGCAGATCTAAAGGTTAAGTGTGTATGTGTGTTTTCTACATACTTCTGAATACGTCTTTCTATAACTGGTTTGACTTCATTTAGCCAGGTATCAGAAGTGCAGGGTCCTAAATCTATAGGACCTTCACGTAATCCATCCAATTCATACAGTCTGTTGTTCACTGGAACATAGGCAATGAAATGAAACACATCTTCGTCCTTCTTTGGTTGTATTCCATCAATTTCGAATACTTGTTGCCTGGGAAAGACATTCAGTGACTTCAAGAGACATTGTACTTTTTAGCCTTATCAACTGGTATTAGGCTAACTCTGACGTTACTAATAAGTAATAGATCACTACCAAACTAAAGGTGCAGCAACTGTAGTGTACGTTAGTGATAAGGGACTGCCCAAGAATTGCAAAGATGATGGTTTTTCTTCAATGCAAAAAGTGAGTTTCACCAAAGCTTGAGGCTGGGCCTTGGGGTAGAGTTCCAATTAGCTCCACTGAGCAATATTCTAATTCCTGGGGGACTTGCTCCTCCTATTTCACTAACTTTGTCTTCCATCTTTTTGGCTACACTATATGGTGGAGCACTTCCTCCAGGTATTATAATGTAGCTCAGTGATTAGCTCCTCTTGGTCATCAGCACAAATGTAACAAATTACTACCTATCCTGCAAGCAGTGCTATGACATTGGAAAGAAATAGTTAATTACTACCTTGAAAAACTGTTGTGGACTTGTCTAATGGCATTGCTGTTGGTCAAAGTTAAGCCTTTAAGCTACAAACACGAGGAACAAATTGAGTAAGTTGAAGCCAAATTACTTACAATATGTCTGGTATTAATGCAATGTTGAAAGCACATATACAATACATACATTGGCATCAAATGAAGCAGAAAATTCCCTAAATTCAGTAAGAATTGGTCCCAAATCCACATCAGGATGTTGTGTATTCAAAAGAATACTTAGAATGGCTTGAGTTGCACAAGCATTACTGATTACCTAAATTATATCACACCTATTGTAAGTATATTATGTACCCAGAAAATGGCCAAAATAAAAATGGTGTTTTTAAGTTATTAGAGTTGTTAATGACATAAGTACTTCAGACAAGGTTACCATACAGAACCTTCAAATATTTAAATATTCATATCATAATCTTGACCTGTTTGGCAAAGAAAATGTTGTCTAAACGACTATCTTTAACAATTGGGCCAGATGGTTCATCACCAGCTTTCCATTTAAATAAAAATATCAAGCCATGAACTGGTCTGAAACAAAAATGATAGACTGGTGGTACAATACTTCTCCTGTGTTTGGAAATATTAAGGAATAACATTCAATGCACCATTGCCCTGCCTGTAACTATTGGCCTTTCTCATAATGATGCAAATGTCACACAAAATTTCATTGGCTGTGCAAAACTAATGAGCCAATCAAACTTTTTGAAACATCAGACTTTCCCTGCATGACATCATTATGGGAGAGAAAGGTCTAGAGAAGACAAAGAGGACAAGAAGAAACTTTGGATCTTTTCGTTGCTTTACAAAGAAACGGACTCTGTGACTTGATGTCAACAGTGCGTGGCATCTGACAAATTGTTGAATCTGTGTCGACAAACCGTAGACTTTTAAATGCATTTTCGTCCAGTGTATATAACTCTTCAACTTGATAACCAGTACAGCCTAGTTTAAACAAAAAAAGGGCGCGCGCTTTTACATTGGCACTTTAATGTGAAAAATTACAGGGTAATGAGGACGAAAAATATTTGTTGATTAATACTGATCATATGACTAACCAAATCCTCGAATTAATTCTGTAAAAACGCCAGGGTCGCTTTCGATCAAACACCAGTCCCCGTTGTCTGCCATCTTTTATAAAGTTAAGAATGCTTCAAACCATTATCCCCCCCCGGAAAAAGTAATGAGAAAGTTGATGAGAGTTGGAGAGTTGACTGTATTTTTTGCTGAGCCTGCTACTACAAAATGCAAACTGCTAGCTGTTTTGCAGCTCGCAGTTTGAGTTGATGAGAGTGTATGAAAGTACATGAACGTAGTAGCGAGAGTTGCAACTCTCATCAACTCTCATTCTCGTTTGACCACAGGGCTTTAGCTTGTTAGAGCAAAGTCTGGCAAATAATGTATAATTACCAGGGGCCGGTTGTATCAAAGCCGGATAGCGCTATCCACGGAATAGTGATTTTTTCAACCGTTCTAAAAATGCTCGAAAAGGGATAAAATTTCAGCTTGAAAGCAACAATTATTAAAGAGGATCTTCAATTTAGGAATACTAAGATTTAATCAAAGTTGTAGCAAATAACGGGCGATTTTGAAGCAATTGAAAAAAACACTATCCGGTGGATAGCGCTATCCGGCTTTCATACAACCGGCCCCAGGACTATAGAGCTCACTGGGGGCGCCGTGATAATTACATAAGTTAGGAAGCTCCTGTAATTACCCGAAAAAATTTTCGCGTCCAAATTATCACGCATATTTGGGCTGCCTATGGCCCTAGTCACCGTTAACCGTTACATGGAGAACGCAAAAGCAGTTTACATAAAAAACTCGTCGTGAAATTCAAGATGAACTCTAATTTGCAAGGAACTTTAACGAGCTTGTGTTGGCGGACCGAGTTGTATTTAGTTGGTACTTAATAGGTCCCTATTTTGAGTAAACTTTATCACTTCACAAAAGCGCAAGAAAAAGAAAATTTCGCAAAATCCATCTTAAACACACGAATGAAATACTTTCAGAGTTTCAGACACAGCGAAAACATAACCTTAGGAAACGTGAAACCCTAGCCTAAATCGCCGGCAAGGGGAGAAACCATATGGTTAGAAACATTCTTGGGAATAGGATGAGTTACATTAATTGCTGCCGCAGCGAGCGAGCCTGAAGCGAGCGAGCAAGGCAGCAGATCCTAATTTAGAAATGGGGGCGCAAATCAAAATTTGTCTTTGGCGCATTGCATGACGGTACCAGTGGCAGGGATGGAGGAACATATTTTATTTTGGGGGTGGCTGAATTTAAGTTCCGGCCATAGTTGACACGCTGCGAGCATATGTTATGTAGCGTGAGAGAGAAATAATTTACATTCACCTGAACACAATGTAGGATATTTCTTTTGTATTTTAGCAGGCGAACAGCAATTTGACGATCTTATTGTTACACGTTTGTGAGATTCTTTCATGTATTTTGGGGAGGGCTACGATTTTTACCTTGCGCGGTGCGGTGCGTGATACAGCAATTTGACGACCTTATTGTTACACGTTTGTGAAATTCTTTCATGTATTTTGGGGAGGGCTACGATTTTCACCTTGCGCGGTGCGGTGCGTGATACCACGTGTATGGTATGTTAATTTATATTGTGAATAAAGGTGAAAACGTGCTTTGGAACATTGTATTAGCGTATTAGGGCGCCAGTAGATTTTCAATATAAACGAAACATAATACTCTTGTCACCTGCGGTGAAAATTTTTGACGCATTGCATGTTGGAGTTCGGTGTCAGGTTATACCATTCCACGTGTTGGCTGCATAAACTTTGGCGAATTTTTTTCGAAGAAGGAAAACTATTTCGGTGAGTTTTTTGTAATTAAGTTCATATTTATTCAATGTTTTATTCATATCTAACTGTTCTTTTATATTTCATAGGTTGATATTGTAGACAGAAGATGAAATTTACGTAATTCTACGTTTTGGCTACATATTATAGTACTGCGAAGTATTAGAGGTATAAGGTATTTTGGTGAGTTTTTTTACTGTCGAGTTCCTATTTATTCGATATTTTATTCATATTGTTAAACGATATACTTCACTATAGGCTTTTAGCCTTTTATGCCGAATTATGACTTAAATACTGGGGTAGTGCATTTATTTGAGCGATCATTGAATGTATCATTAAAAATTGCGTCTGTTTTGTTTGTTTAGCGCGCGGCGTTTATTAACTGTTCATTTTTATTTTCCAGGTTGATATTTTGGTCCGAAGGCGAGGCTTCAACTCTTGTTATATAATCGAGTCTTTGTTCTCAGTTGCACCAGTAATTGAATGCATTGATTTTTGCATTTTTGTCAGTCATCTGTCATCAGTTGCTGACTCTTCTGTTTTGGTGCTGTATTTGCGCCTCATTTTTGTGTCTTGTTAAGACACTCACTAGATCATCAAAAGTTTATTTCATGTGTGTTTTTGTATCTCATTGGATTCGTCGTATCCGTCACAGCAAAAGATGATTGACACGGAAGAATTGCGTTTAACAGAAACAACATTTTCATAACGTTTTAATAACTATATCGAGCGATTTAAAAACATAATTGACAAATTTAAGTTCTGTTGGGGGCTCCGTTGCATAAAAAACAAATTATTGATAGGTTTCGTAGAACATTTCTGTTCTGGAACAATATTGTTTCTGTCATTTTCCTTAAATAATGATAATAAGCTGAGGCTAAGCACTTTGTACTATATTTTATATTTTCAATCTCTTCTTGAACATAAAAAAATTTACGGTGGTTGTGATTTCTGTTCTTCTAAAAGTTTAATGTTTTCATTGCATGACGACTACGGCTTACTCACAGGCAGCACTCCCTACCCTATGGGTACCCTAGTACATTTAGTAGGGTCGCAGAGCAGTGTCCGGAAGTGTTCGAAGGTGTGGGCAGCGTCTGAACTGTGGGCTTTCTCCAATCTCCAGTTTTCTCTAACATTTGTCCCGTCATGCACAGCAAACCGTCATTCGTTTTCGTTCACTGTATTTGCCACTCGCACATGTGATAAATTTCAAAATGGCCTCCTTTGGAAATGCAATTCCTCCTCCTGCAAAACCTGCTGACACAAATGCTGCTTTCGCAGATGCCTTAAAAAGAGCCAAAGAGGTAAGATAGATATGCGTAGAAGCCTCCTATAAAGATTTGGTGGGTTTTCATGTGTCCTCATGTGAAATTTTAACTATAGATCGCCGCCAGAATGGGTTCGGCCGCAGCTGCTAGTAGTGGCGAGTCAGGTATGAATTACATCTAATACCAAATTATTTCTAGATGGACATATAAAAAGGTTATCTCTTTTAGTATTATACGTTTTTTGCTGAATTATATGTTGTTTCTGTATTCCTTTTGCAGCTAAAAGGCCCTTAGAAGCTTCTTCTGGTAAGTAATTTGTATTTTGTAAAAATTGAAATTTGATTGTCGTCTTCTAGAGGTCAATGGCATTATTAAAGTTTCTGTGACAAATTTTTCTCAATTCTATATCTCTTTAACATTTTATTACCCAGAGCACTGGATGATGCTGTCCTTTTAATATGTTCTTTCCCAAATGGTCTAGTCCTAAGGGAAATTACAAGACAATAACAGCAAGAATATAACCTCTTTCTTAATATTAGGTGGTGAACCAGCAGCAAAAAAACCTCTCATGCAAGGTATAGCACCAATGAATACAGTTGCAATACTATTACTAATATAATACTTTACATAGTAATATTACCATGAAAAATCTTTTGTTGAGTTTTTAATTCATTTTTTTTTAATTAAATTTAAGGCTCTAATGATATTGTTATCGATGCAAAGGCAATAGCGATGCAAGTTGCTGCAAATATTGCACAAAGGTTAGTTGCTTTGACGTAATTCCTACACCAGAGCTATTTTCAGCAGAGCGTTCTGCAATACATGTATCGGAAAGAAGCATAGCAGTGGGTGTCTGGATGGAATCAGACAGAAACTTGCCGGATTCCATCCAGGGAAAAAGAAAAAACATTTTGTTTTATATATTTAGATAAAGTTGATTACCTAACTATGAGATGGTAATAATTTGGTGAAATATTTTCAATCTTTGTAGAGCTGGATTACAATCAATGCCTGTTGAAGATTTAAAAATTCCTAACAAATATGTTGGGCTAAGTAAGTAATTTGACACCCTCGTTTCCACAAAGCAAGTCCACAGTTTTAATTGGTAGGATGTTCCCCTGGTTATTATAATTATGACAATTATAGACCCCTAATTATAGATTCCTTAAGAGATATGAAGCAATATTTAATTTATTTTATCTGGTTCAAGTTTCAGTAAGATCTTGCATTCAATCAATTTTAATATTCCTTTAATCTTGTTCAACTTTGGGAGGATAGAGTCACTTAAGATCAAAAATTCAAATCATAACAAAAATCATTCTAAGCTTAGTACTAAAATAGTCTTCCTTGATTGTAAATAATAAGCACTGTAAATTAATGCCTATATTGCTAGGCTGTAACCAGGGAACATGACCTGATTACTAATGGTCATATGCACTAACCACTGTTTAACTATTCTATGTAGTTATTGGAAAAGGTGGTGAACAGATCAATAAACTTCAGTCCGAAACTGGTGCAAGAGTTCAAGTTGCTCCAGGTAAAAGTCAATCTTTGTTGTTTTTAAAATATGCCAAACCAAAAAATTAGTATTGAAAATTAGTACACTTTATTATAGATCCACCTCCTGGAGCAATGCCCCCTCCAGATCGTGCTGTCACAATCTCTGGTAACCCTGAAGCTGTGGAGTAAGTACATGATGCTTTCACCATCATATGTCTGAACATGGTAGCAACCTATTTCATAACATAATAAAACAATAATGTCTGATAAATTCCTAGTTCCTAATTATTGTTGCATATACATTTTTAAGAAAAGCCAAAAATTTGATCCTCAAAATTTGCGAAGATGGCAAAGTTCCAGAGTCCTTGGTTAGTTAATATTTTTATATAACATAATTTAAAAGAAGAATTTTCATGTGTGTCATAACCATTGTTTTTGTTTGCTAGATGTCTGTACCAACAATTGCCCCTGGAGAATCATTAATGGAAGTTATGATTCCAGCTTCAAAAGTTGGATTGATTATTGGTAGGCACAGTCTGTCAGCACAGGAAATTCGCATATCTTTAAGTTTTTGTGAATTGTGAGTACCCATTTTGAAGATTTTGTATTCAGCTAAAAACAATATATATTTATTTTATAGGCAAAGGTGGTGAAACAATTAAAAACCTGCAGGTTAGATTGTCATCTGTTTCCATGGATTTCATGATAAGGCAGTGATGTTGGAGGTCTATATATAGTATGAGAAAATCTTGAGCTTTAATAGTAATGAAATATTTAAAATGAAATATGCACTAATCATTGGTTGTTCACAAAATATGTGATGCCTGGTTTTAGCCTTTTTATGACACCCGTGCATAGCTACTTCTGCAATGTTGTGTGTCAATTCTAATATACCTCTTGAAAATTGCATGATGCTGAACCATATGACCACTGATTTCATGATAAACTATTAGATCAGTACCTTCAACACACAATACTTTGACAAGGCAAATTTGTTCAGGTGAAATTGAAAACAAAATTATACTGCAATGTGATTAACAAGAATTAAAAACATGTTGTGAGAGGGTTTTTTTGCATAAAAAAAGGCAATTGTTTTAACCTTTGTCATGGGTCACCTTGCATCACCTAACAAGACTACACCTCCCCACCCCTTGAAGCATCTCATATTTTATGACTGTCCCAATAGATAAAATTGGCCCTGAATTTTTACGATTTTATGATCCCGATCACAGAGCATAAGAACTGTTTTATTAAAAGGGGAACTCACTGTACAAAGAAAATGTGTTTAAACATATTTTGGCCTGTAGGAACGAGCTCAATGTAAGATGGTTATGGTGCAAGATGGTCCCTGGTTAAGTGCTCCTGAAAAACCACTCAGAATAACTGGTGAACAGTCAAGGTGCCAAGTGAGTAGTGTTGGCAAATTTGATAGATAGTGTCTATCAAACTGGTGTGTAAGAACTATCATAGAGGAATTTTTCAATTGTACACTGTTATTTTGCAGCGAGGGAAAGACTTGGTGTTGGACTTGCTTACGGAAAAAGAACTTGAGCAGATCCAACAAAAAGGCTCAGATTTCATGGGCAAACAAACAAATGAATATGGTACACCCATCGGAGGAGGACAGTTCGGTCAAAACCCGCGAAATTTTGGTGCCCAGAACGAGGTATTCTGAACGATATGCAAGATAGAAGTCGTGTAAAACACAACTTGCTTACAAAGCATTTAAAATTGTAAAAGGATTTCATGGGTTCTGGAAATTTTTTGGGTTGGTTTTCTTGGGGTCCGTGTAGGTGCCGGGCTAAGCGGATAATCTTTACCTGCAACTTTCCACACAATCTGGTCTCGTGTAAAATTCTAATCCTAATTATTAGATCCCAGTTCCCAAAGAAAGTGTTGGGTTTATCATCGGCAAGAATGGTGATACAATCAAACGATTACAGAGTGAAACAGGAGCGAGGATTCAGTTCAAGCCTGGTAATATATCTCGACATACATGTCTCTGTGGTCAGCTTTGTTTTACCTACAGTTTGATGGGTAAATCCTTAAATCCTGTTTCTAGATGATGCCAGCTCACCGACAAGGGTAGCAACGATACAAGGTCCTCCTGAGCAAGTTCAAAGAGCATCGCAAATGATCAACGAAATCGTTGAACAAGTAAGTCTTAGCATCTTTCTGTTTACTGATTCCCCGGGGCCGGTTGTATCAAGCCCGTTTAGCTTAAACGGTGGTTAAGTTCAAAATAGAAAGCAAGTCTATCGTTTTATTCAACAAGAAAACTAAATGTTTTTAACCTTAAAACAAAGATACTGTTTAAAACTACATATTCAGAGCATAATATTCAAGTTGAGTCATTCAAGAGAGATCTAAGAGCATTTTTTAATTTTGATTTATCCACCGTTTAAGCTAAACGTGCTTGATACCAAAAGTGCCACTGGTTGGGTATAGATATTTCATTATCCTGTTTACAACATAACATGCGACTCGTACTTTGAGATTTATGTCAGTGTCGCTAGTGTGGAAAATTTATGTCAGTGTCGCTAGCTAATTGAATGCTAGAGAGAACATTGGGAATTTTCCAAGATGAAACGGAAATGGTCCCGCAGGTTGTCCCATACAGTAACAGCTTGCCAAAACAGCTCCGTACATTACAAATAATACGATCTGTCAGAAGATCTGTATGGAACATTTGCCGTCACAGCGTCTCTAACCTTTGACTTAGACATCAATCACTACGGAAAGGTCCTTTCACTTGATTACCCCCTTATTTATTATCCATTCCCCTTATTTTTCCAATATTTTTTTCAAATGTAGTCACGACAGAGGTCCGGTGGTTCAAGAGGAGGACCTCCAATACCAAGTGGTCCTGGAGTCAGAAAAGTCGATTTTCCAGTTCCTGCAGCTAAATGTGGACTTGTCATTGGAAAAGGTGAAAACATCTTCCAAATTTGTTTTCCTTGTTATTTTCACCACTAGAGTTGTGTTGCAATACAATGTCACATCATGACTTGTTCACTTCTAAAATGTGCTTCTGAAATATTTTCTTGCTCTACATGTATTTTGACTCTCTTGAAGGTGGAGAAACCATTCGACAGATCAACCAGGCCTCTGGGGCACATGTTGAGCTCAATAGAAATATTCCTGAAAATGGACCAAAGCGGTTATTCACTATTCGAGGTTTGTTTTTAACTTCTTTGATACGATATACACGTTGTTAAAGATTGAAAGTTTATTAACTAACTGTATCTTCCAGGCACTGAACAACAAATTCAACAAGCACAGAATATGATTCGTGAAAAAACTGGTGATGGTGTAAGTGAGATAAGTTCACATCCTACTCGGGGGTTTTTTAGTTTTTCCATGGGGTTTTTCGTACCAAAATTTCACATGCATTTATATCGCATTAAGGAGTATTTTAATGTACGCTTACCTTTTAGGGCGGAGGGTATGGTCAAAATCACGGACAAAAGTATGTCAGTTATATTTAATATTTTCTAAGAAAGATCGTTCTTGCAATAGACAACTTCGTCGTTTATTCTTTATTTTCAAAATTTCTTGTGGGGGGGGGGAGAACTGGTTGTGCCGTAGTAATCAATTATTGAATAAGGTTGAGCAGTATTTGAGGAATTATCAAGCCCTGAGATTGCTGTGTGTTAAGCCGAAGGCCGCGGCTGATAACGACAATCTAAAGACTCTCAAATAAATAACTGATATGATTTTTCATTACTCTACGAAATTTAGCATGTGGTTTTATATGAAAAATTGGCTGTGTTGAAATCATTCTTGTGAAACAAAGTGTGAAAATCCCCCTTGTTTCTACATATGTTTTTTGTTTGTCTGTAGTGATTATAACCAAGGAGGTTACCAACAGAATCAACAACAGAACCAACAAAGTTGGCAAGGCTATCCCTATCAACAGTATGGTCAACAACAAAACCCATACGGGCAAGCTCAAAATAATTATGGACAACCGCAACAACAGGGTGTAAGTTACATCACGGTTTATTGAATTCCATAGTGATGGACAGAACCAATTGAACGGGTGCAAATCTAATAGAATGAAAATTTATCAGTTAAAGTCAAACTTTGGGCTGGTTCATATCGTCCAGAGATTCTCCTGCAACTCCAGCTTAGGGTAACTTTCGATCGTGTTGCACTGACAGTTAGGGAAATTTTAATCAACCTTTCTTTCGTTTGGAAACTCTACCGAGCTTTGAAGGCTTTTTTAACAAGTGTTTTTAAAGTTACGAGATTTCCTAGAGGAAGTGGAGAAAATATCCCTCCAGCTGTTCTTTATAACAACTGGACCTGATAACTCCAGACAATTGCAACTCTGTACATCAAACAATTTCATATTGAGTCGTAATTTATGCAAACAAAGATTCATAACCTCCTTAAGCAGATTGATTTCTTTAATCACAGGGGCCCCCAGGCGATCAGCAAGGGTCAAACCCAGCAGCTTCGGGAGCTCCAACCTCTGGTGCTGGTCCTACAGCAGGTAAATACTTGTAAATATTTTACCACGCGAGTGCTTCACCATGTGTAAGAAGGAGAAAGAGCCCAAAGTAATATAACATTACCTGCAATTTTTTTGTAATCAGGGGCTCAAGGTCAGCCAGACTACAGCGCAGCGTGGGCGATGTATTATCAACAATTGTATCAACAACAAGCCGCAGCAGCCGCTGGACAATCTGCCGGAGGTAACGCTGCACAAGGTGGGAAATATGGATTGTTGATTTTGTGAACGATTCGCCAGATTTACTCGTACCAAGCCAGTGAACTGTGTGTGAATTGTCAGTGGTGTAATTATTATGGTCATCATCAACACACGATTATTATCACCAGCAGCTTTTCTGTCACTATCAACACCATAATTTGATCACCAGTTCACCACCATTAACACAACTATCAGCAATGTTATAACCAATGGCACAATCAATAGCTAATACTTGCTCCTCTATTTTCTCTTCTCTCAGGTGGTCAACCTGATTACACTGCTCAATGGATGGAATACTACCGCCAACAGGGCTACTACTATCCCTACGGCCAACAGCAGCAACAACCAGGACAGCAAGCCCAACAACCTCAACAGCAAGGACAGCAACCTGGACCTCCTCAAGGACATCAACCTGGTCCACCTCAAGGTCAGGGACAACCTCAACAACGATGATGTCTTTAGGTAAGTAGCTATTACGTAATTCGTCTTGGTTTTTGCCGCTATAAACAGTAAATATATAGATAGAACGATTGGTCCAGAGAAAGGGAGAGAAGGAACCATTGATTTGCGGTAATTATAGTAAGGGTTCAATTTCCAAATACATGGGCTTCTGTTTGCGAGGATCGCAGTTTGTAAGGTTTTGTGCGCGAGAAATGATAAAGAAAAGCTATCTGCTTGTTGGTGCTGATGACGTAAGCGAACGCTCTACTAACGGTCTATTTTGGTTCAACATTGATAATGATATCTTTTAAACAAGAATGAATATCTGGCAAATATTTTCCATTGCACATGTTTTTGTCTTCAGTTGTTGTTTTGTTTCCATCATTCAATTTTTCATTGTATGCTTTATAACACTCCGCTTATCATCAAATGTCATATTTATGTTTTTGATTTCCATACATAAGTTGTAATCCTCCCTCTACATCTATATTTGCAAATATATCTTAATTTTTTAAAGCTATATTTCATTAACTTCTTTTTAACCAGAATTATTTTACTCGGTTCTTCAACAAATTTGTGCATTCAAATATCTACCACGATTTCTACGCATTCATTTTTTTAGTTTCAATTTTTTCACTGTATAATGCATAATCACATTTTTACATTTGATTGCATGTGTATTCTTGGTATGTCAATGTGTTAAGGCCCATTTACACTATGCGATTTGTCGTATACGATTCATACCCTGGCGTATGTGAACGTATGAACACGCGTATAAATGTGACACTTTAAATTCTAACCTGTACAAAATTGAATGAAGATTGTGTCATAGGCACTCTTTTGCATTCGTCAGAATGATAATTGCATACAACTTATCGTGTAGTCTAAATAGGCCTTTAGTGGCCCATAATTATCATCATATAGTCTTTACTCTGTAGTAATCTAGCTTGTATGTGTCTAAAACCTTGATCCATCGCATATTTCATCATTTTTTGTATATATTATCATTGATGTCATATCATTTATCAACATTAGTGTTTACAGAAATTAGGTTCATAACTTCATTTTTTTACTCTAATCACTGTCCGATCTATCAGTTTACGACGCTTTATTTGTTCCTAAATGCAAACATAGTATCACATATTTTACTCTATCACCGTGTCCGTATTTCCATATACCATGCAGTGAATTACAGGTACTGAAAACGGTCATGCCTGAAGCATCTGTAAGTTATTCAATTAATAGTTTTATTGGTTTTTAACGAGTTTTATTCCATGATTAATCTGTTAAGATTTTATCAATCATGTCTTTGAATCCTATATTATACTATACTTGCATGCATTATTTGTTTTTTGCTACATATATAAATTATTTGCAGGGCTCGAAAATTGTAAGTGTTGAAATTGTTCTCGTGATATTTTTTCTCATCAAATCGTGTTAATTATTTTTCGATATATTTCCATGTTCATGCATGTATGTTGTGTTTGTTGTTTTGCCATAAAAATGATTTGCAGGTGTAATGAAAACAGTCATGCATCCAACAGCTATATGTGTAAGTTTAAAATGATAGAGTTCGTATGTTTTCTCGTGTCTACAAATGTGTCATTACTCATTTTCATGCTCTATATTATTATTATTATGTTGCGATATAAATTTATTATATGCTAAGTTTTTCAGTCAATATATAGCTCAGTATATATGTAAATTATGTAGTATGATTCTGTGCATTTCCTGGTGTTGAGCGTTTAAAATCTTTCGTATAATAAGTATGTCGTCATCATGCTACTAACAGTGCATCCATGCTAATGTTAAGGCTGATAGGTTCAGCTGAAAAAAAACATCGGTAGAGCGTCGGTCGCGGAGATGGGTCACTCCGTTGCTGATATGTTGTGTGGTTCGTTCTGGGCCCACTGCGGACACGTGAAGGTTAGACAAAAGTGTGTCTGAACCGTTATTGTTTCGTTTTGCGAGATCAATATTGAATGCGTGTCATGTATGTATATGTAGTTGTGTTACAAATCTTCGATCCAGTGTAGGTAGTGTTTTATACATTTCTTGTATCTCGTCTGTTACACACGGGTGCTTACACAAATGCCCGTACCGTCAAAATTTTTAACCCAGTTGGAATTTAGCCTAATTTTCCGGTTACAGCGATCTGACTTTCCTCCCATGGTGCAAATACTTGAAAACATGAAAATGACAGTAACTAACAATGAAATTAATTTATTGATTTTTAGCTCGAATATATTTTGATATGTGTTTTTTTTCTAACGTATTTTTTTCTTTTTTGTTTAGTGATTGAAATGTTGTGCCTAACCCAATTCATTGTAAGTCGAATCTTGTGTATTATACCTGCATAGCCCTAGTATACAGCATACTGAACAACTTGTAAAGTAATCAGTGATGACAGTATTATCACGTGCCTTTTATAATAATGGGTGCAAGAACTGAATGTAATAAAAAATAGTTTCTTCGAAATGTGTCGGAATGAATATATCAATGATACGGTTGGCCGTCGGTTGCATTTACTAATTAAACGTATTTTTTAATAGATTGTGTATTTTAGTTTTAAATAAAAACTTTTGTGTACTTTATCTAGCATATGATAAATGTTTTGTTGCTTTCGCATTGAATTTTATTTTTTCATTTTATTCGTTCCTAAAAAACAGTCGCAAAACTAGAGGAGTTTGACTGCGAGGTTTGATGATTTTGAAACCTGAATTCAAACGCTGCGCAGGGGGAGACTTTTGTGATAGACACTATTGTCACACACTGGATGCTAGATTGCTATGGTGTGTGCAAAACAGCATTTAAACGTTTCATCATGTTTTCTTTTTTTTTTGGATGATTGATTTCCTTGTCTGGAGGTTTTCCGCAAGACGATTGTGCTATTCTTAAAGCTTGATGGGTAGTTGATGCCTGTTGCTCTAAAGCAGATTTACTAACTGATTAAAATGCAATCTTTTGAATTGAAAGGACATCGCCACCCCCTTGCCCCTGCTGATGGAAGGCAGGAAAGGCATTGCCTCAGTTCCAACGTTCCCTAAACATCGTCTATTCCTACAGGATCAAGAGGTCACACTAGGCCAAAGCTCAGTGGTCACATTTGCCTGTGATTTGCCGTAACATACATCTGCCTCGTGGCTCTTTCAATTTTCACCATGGACACAAGTGTATGAGACCACGACCGCCAATCGCAGGAGACTGGTTACCAGTTGTGATTTTGGTATTTTCATATAGCTCAGTGGGTATTTTGTAATTGTGTACATTTTGTTTCAATAGACCTTATTAAAAATATTGGTGTCTTCGAACGAATTATGGGTTATTTTGGTAACGTAAGCCTTATTTTAGGCGTTCGTAGATTGTTTTACGCGGTTTCTCCGAACGAAACATCATTTGAGAAGTTGGAGGACGTGCCCGATTACCTGAATGAGGTATGTGGAAGTAGGAACCCTGCGATGACGGAGATTGCTCTTTATCATATTTGAATTTGCTGCGATTTCTAAATGTAATAAGTTTGGTGTTCAGCAGACTTCGATTGATTAATTTGTTACTTTATATCATTACATTTTCCTGTGGTTTTTCTTCATGCAATTCGAGCTTATATTAAGACTCGTAAATATATTGACAGGACTTTGTTTGCAAGGATATTTTGTCTGCCAAGAATAATGTGCGTTGAACGTCTAATTTTGTATATTCTAATATGTAAGATACTTCATAATAAAACAACTGTTAGTTGAAGCCTTCAAAAAAGAATTTCTGCATTAATTTTAGCCTTGATATCAAATTATGTTATTGAGGTTGATGTCACCATGCAAACGTACAAGAATATTATTGCAGGAATTCAATTGTGCAATAGTTGTTATGTAATCATCATTTGCATAACTATACAATCAGCAGAGCTAATAAACCTTTTTGTGGATGTTTGATTGGCTTTTATTAGATCAATATGGGTAGCAAAATATGGCATAGTTACATAAATAATTTGACTCTGATCAACTAGATAAGTGCTGTAGATCTTTCTATATAAAAAGGGTTTTTATGACATAGTTTGGAGAAAGTCAGATTTCTAATTGGAAATGCATTCTAGTTGGCACAATGCATTCTAGTTGGCCTATCAGGAACAAGCTTTTTTAAGCACACTACATCACAATGCAGACTTTTTATAAATTAGGTATAAAGCCATAACCTAATTTTTACTGTATTAGTTGCAAATAAAATGCTTCATCTAGTGTCAATTTTCTATATTTAGATCAGGAATTTTTAGACTCTATCTACTCTCTTGACTCTCTTCTTCTTGCCATTAGGCAGTCCCATTCTTCAACGGTGCTATTTTGTTGGAGTTCCTCATATGCTGGTTAAAAGGTGTTGAAACATTTCGACTGAATGATGGATTAAGTTCAGTCACTGCTGGTATATTTCTACAGTTATCCAAGTATGTTTATGTATTGAGTTTAACAATTTATGATAGTCCTAGGTTTAAAAAAAGTACCTTTTTTGTAATTTTTCATAATTATATCTATGTCACTATATGATAATTAGATATTTGATTATATCAATTACCATTCCACATTGTACATAACAATTAAAATGGTTCATTCCTGTATGCATTCAAAAAGTCTGCTGGTGGATTTATATAATTAGATAGTAATACCTGAAATAGTGAGTTGACCTATGATTGATATAAGGATACTGCATATCTACGTATCTAACCATGTGGAAGTGTGCAAATACATTTTAGCAATAGCTTGTTAATCATCATGCGTTTCATCATCATCACCTATTTCTTGTACTTTAGGTTTGTGCTGATTTCCCTGGAACTTGTTAGCCATTCCTGGATTTACGAGCACTACAGACTGGTTACCTTGCCCTGGAACTCACCATGGACATGGTTCATTGCTTTTTTAACTATTGACTTCATGTATTACTGGTTTCATCGTGCCTGCCATGGTATATGTTATTGCACTGTCCTTAAAGCTCTACTAACACTTACTAACTTAATAATCTAACATATCCACCATAAATTACATTTCCAAAGTGGGTTCAATGCTAACATTTCTCATATTAATTTGAGCAAATACACACCTTAATTGAACAAATGCTACTATCCAGCTAGTGCATGCTTTTTGGAAAAATTTCATCCATGGGCAAAGTGAGTAAAACACATAGCTGTGACATGACCTTGTGGAATATCAAGTTAAAGTTAAACTACAGTGGACACAACACAACTTTCTTTTGGTTCACTAATGTTGTAAAATGCAATGGGTATAATAAGTATACCCTTACCCAGGGCTGTAACAAAGCGAGATACTTGTCCATTGTCAGAAGGATCGATCATTGCTATGAAAACCACTTTTACAAACATGCATAATGATCACAGTGCAATATGTTGCAATTAAGACATATTCCATTATAAACTAATGATGATACAGTAATATTCAAACCAGGTTTTTGTAAATAACAGCTCACTTATAGCTATAGATAATTTTAGGTATAATATATGACAGCTAGTGATTATATGCAAGAGAAGTGATTGGGGAAATTATTTTATTTTAGCAATTTTTGCTCTTTATATCTATATTTCCAGAGGTCAATATCATGTGGTCAGCTCACCAAGTTCATCACAGCGCTGAAGATTACAACTTAACCACAGCATTAAGACAGAGTTTTTTTCAGCGCCACTTCAGCATGGTAATTCAAATATAATATTAGCAAAAGGAAGTTCCAACCTTAAAATCTTAGTATCTAAAAAAGCATTCAATATCTTCCAGAAATAGAGCAGAAGTGATGATCAATAAATTTAGCAATTTGTACTTGAAAGTTGGGCAATTTTCCTGAAAAATTTCAGTCCTATATGTAATGAATGGTGTAGTGAGCTAATGAAATGACAGGAAAAAAATTGTGAATTTCATTATCTCTTTTCAGCTTCTGTATTTTCCCTCAGCACTTTTCATTCCACCATCAGTACATTTTGTCCATGTCCAGTTTAATTTGCTCTATCAGTTCTGGATTCATACTGAGGTAATTATTGTTACAATGCATGTTTCACATGCAGGGGAGTTTAACTTGCTCTATCAGTTCTGGATTCATAAAGAGGTAATTATTGTTACAGAGCATGTTTCGCAGGCAGAGGACACTACCAAATGTCAATATAATATAATATATTCTCGTGCAACTCCTGTTTTCATGTAAACAGCATTTAGCATTCTGGTTTTTTGTAGAATGTACTTGAACGTACTTTTATCAATTTTGTATTTACAGTTAATCAAGTCTCTTGGTGTACTGGAATATATTTTCAATTGCCCAAGTCATCACAGAGTTCATCATGGTAGGCTGTGTTTAGTCTGCTTAGAACTATACCTGCTTCGTTGGCCCATAATATACCACCGAGAGTGCCGCGGGAAAATGCAAGTGTGGATAAATCCATATATTGTCCTTGACGTTTTGACTTTTTTTCTCAGTCTTTACACAATCCCATAATGGTTACACCGACTTACTGTTAGGTAATTAGATAAGAACACACAGACAAACGAAAAGGGTGTTGGTATTTATTCCAGACCGCCTTTACCCTCTCTGTTAGCTTGTTGTGGGTTGCGACGTCGAAGATTTTTTTAATTATCTTAGGCTTCTTAGCTCACTTGAAAAAAATATTTTTGATATTTTAGGACGTAACCCGTACTGCATTGACAAGAATTATGGTTAGTTTTAGTTGTGTATGGCAGGATTGGCTCGTTCTAAACCGTAAAAATTTGAGTATACATGCATGCGTAGTGGAGGGTTCATATCTGGAATTCCGCAATATCGACGTCATTCGAAGACAGTTTGTGGAAATAATGTATAAGTATATAGCTGCGATTTTCGTTTGAGATAAATGTCTTTTATTCGTAGGTGGAACCCTAATCATATTTGACCGTCTATTTGGTAAGTCTACAGTATATATATATATATATATATATATATATATATATATATATATATATATATATATATATAAATGAAATGCTATATTAGTAAAAGGCAGTAAAGTTCATACATGAACCGTCAACGAACTCACTTGACTGATACTAAATTATATTCACGTCAAATGTTGTCAGGAACCTTCCAAGATGAGACTGATGAAAAGGTTGTGTACGGTTTGGTACACCAAGTCAATTCATGGAATCCTATTTGGATACAGGTATTGAGCACACTTTAACATTGTCTAACAGACCACAACTCTTATTGTGGCAAACTATATCGCCTATTATACTCTTTATAGTATCATAGAAAAACTGTACAAGTCATATAGCGGGTTTTATTGACATTTAGGCCTGTTTCAGACGTCGAACTTTCGACGTCTTAAATGAGCGTTACTATTATAAGATATATTTTTCTTTTGTATTTTATTGAATTTCTTTTCTTTTCATTTTATTCTTTACATATTGCTTCGTTCACGTATTGTCTGCCTCTAAATGACGACCGCTTTAATACTATTTAGATATGTCATTTGGTTCACATTGCTAAAACATTTTGGAACACGGAGGGGTTCATGAACAAGGTACTGTACAGTTCCAGAAGACATGGATAGTCTATGGTTAATCATGGATAGTCTATGGTTAGTCATGGATAGTCTATGGTTAGTCATGGATAGTCTATGGTTATAGTCATGGATAGTCTATGGTTAGCCATGGAGAGTCTATGGTTAGTCATGGATAGTCTATTGTTAATCATGGATAGTCTATGGTTATAGTCATGGAAAGTCTATAGTTAGTCATGGATAGTCTATGCTTAGTCATGCATTGATAGTGTCCTATGGTTATAGTCATGGATAGTCTATGTTTAGTCATGGATATATGACTAAGTCATGTTTAGTCATGGTTCAATCATGTAAATACACCAGAGTGACCAGACAGTTGCATGCAGTCCCTGTATGAATGTGATGGTATAATATGTGATTTCTGTTTTAGATTTTTGTGTTGATAAAAGGTCCCGGGTGGTCTCCTGGCAAACCTCGTCTTGGTGATCCTGCTGATATTCCTCAGGTGTGTTAACAAGAACGAAAGAAGACTTTCTTGCCAACCCTCATAAAGTGTCATTAGTCTGCCAGCTTGTATTAATTCTAATACTGTGTATCTTCTTGTGGGCACTCAAGTCTCAAAATGAACAATGTCTGTCTTGTTTCAGGTTGAATATCCAGTTTCAAAATACGACAAGGGCTTGCCACTTTGGGGAAATATTTATATCATAATACACAGTGTTATTTTCTCGATAACTTTTCAAGAATTGTTTATGAAACGTATGGTATGTCATTTGCTTCGATTCGAGTTGCATTTTTAGTATGCATTTGTGATAAGTTTTGCGACTATTTTCAAACCATTTAAATTTTACCTTCAATCGTGTCGTTTTTAGTACAAGTGTTCACACATACCTGACTGGTATCCGCTTCATCTTTTTAGCCGAATAACCTGTTGTAAAAATAACTGTGATATTTTCTTTTTAAACTGTTATCTTTTTGTGAGTGGAAACTAGAATCTTCTTTATGCATTACATGAGTGCTACAAATAACATAAATCCCTATAGAATACATCAAGATGTCGGCAGATATAATAGGCCATTCATCAAAAGGAAATTCATCAGTGGAGCGGGAAAGAGCATTCCAGAGTTTGGTTGCCGAAAAATTTAAAAGTGTGAAAAATATTGCTGTTTGAAGTTGGCAAATTTTGTGTAAATTCGCGCGTAATACCAATTTACGTAAATCATAATACAACGTCGCAGAGCTATATTTTGCACATTTTTCAATATTTTGCAACCAAACTTTGGAAAATCCTATGAAATCTACAGTAATTTTGGTTGTTGATATATTCTTCATTTCAGACCCTTTGCCAAACAAACATTTTATGTGTGGTACTTTTCCTTCTTGCATCTGGTACATGTTTCGGTTTGCTCATGGACAATAAGTGAGTTGCGCTTATTTTTGTTTATTTTATGTGATTATTTTGTACTTTTGTCAGGAAGTAAATAATGCGCACAAAATTGACCGCCCCCCCAATAATAAAATCTTAGCTATATCGGTTCTACAGTGTTCTCATCAAGGCGTATCTCTTATCAATCCTGACAACCTGTGTTACTACAAAATGAAAAATATAGTTAACTAACACGTCTTCCTTACAGATGGTACTCTCCGCATCTGGAGTTGATTCGATGTGTTGTGTTTCTTGTGATTGACTACCAACTGTCTTTGTATCAGAAACACATCGAAGGTCTGTATGTGAAGTTTATAGTATGCGTTATCCACACGTGAATTGCTCGTAATTATCATTTTCTTCAACCATAGTGGTGCCACCGCCTTTGCTGGGGATAACTCGCATGATATACGCAACGTCAGCAATAATATGGCTTTTGCTGTGTTTGCGTTCTGAGAAGATCCTGGAGAAAGAAGATTAGTTCATACTGGACTTCAGAGCGAATGCTTACCCTGCTTTAACATGCTTTTTTTTTATTAGTGTAAATAAGCAAAACAAACTGTAGACTGCATAGAATAGAAGTTGCAAATTGCGCTTTTCAAATTTGTGCCCCTAAGTAAGTCGTCATAAGTCATAACGTGTTTAGTCAGAAAAATGATCGAGGATTGTATTTCATAAACTGTGATTAGGGTTTTGACCGTTGGGAACTATGTAATCCAAACATTGACATTGTAAGTTTTGTAAGTTGTAACTGTTTAGTGTCCAAATTGAAGTAATATATAAAATGGCTTTTCAGTTCTCCAAATCTCAAAAAAATCTCCGTTCTACTTAGTTTCAGGGACCGTGGGAGCCTGTTTGAAAGCCAAGACCAGAACTTCATGCCAATTTCACACCCCACGGAAATTTTATCTAAAATTTTTTGTCAAGGGACAAAAGGTAGAAGGCGAACCGCCTGCCATGCAGGCTACCCTCCCCTCACCAATGCTGCGAACCTGGGGTGTCAGAACATATTTTACTTTTTGGAAAAAATTGAAAAAAGTTAGACCGGTGTCATAAAAATGATTGAAATTGTTAACCATGCAAACAAGAAATACGAATGTAATGAATATATACCCCCGGACTGACGAACAGAGAACAAACAAGTGAAGTTCTTATTCAATGTTCTATTCGAATTCTTGTTTGTATAAAAATTATTCTATTATACAAGCATTCATGAACCATAGAGCAAAAGAATACAGTCGTGTCCTAACCACTGATGACTGATTAGTGAGTGAATAGTGATTGCCACTGTCGTTTGGTTCCCTCTGAGCTCATAGAGACTATATAAACTGAGCTGTAGTTCAGGCTGGTCCAGGCCACTGAAAGTCTGAAACTGAGGCACAATTTCAATTATTCAAATCAGAAATTCAAGTTCGCTAAAATCAGTAAAATGTCGCGACAATAATTTCCTTTCCAATATGGCGGATGGTGTGCCTATTTTACTTGAATTTAGGTACGTCTTTTATTTTGTGCTTTTTCGCTGGATTGGAATATATTGTTAAATAGTTACCTACTTTTGTTAAAATTTTGGATAGTGGTGGTGCTGAACTATTGTTTGGTAAAGTCAAGAAGCATAATGTCATTTTGCAAGAATCTGAAAAGCCTTGTAAGTTTAAATTACAGATTTATCATTTATTCGAATGGTGTTTGAATTCTTTTTCAATGAATATTAAATATGATAATTGGTAGTATTTCGTTTCTTTAGGGACAATTAAGAAATTGTTGTTCTGGATAAAAGATAATTTACTTCAAGAACGACCTGAGCTTTTCATTCAAGGAGAATCTGTGTTAGTGTTCAATATAACATCTATTCAATTTGACTACAATCACAGGCATGCATTCAACTAATGCTCTCACATCTTAAATATGCATACTTTTTACTGTGGGGAAGGATGCTTCCTCTCTCCCCTCGATAGAGTCAAACTTTTCTAAGGAAATTTCCTTAGAACCTTGCACCCAGGGTTTTATTACCTATGCTCCATGGCACCCTGGGTACAAGGTTGGCATGCATTTTGACATGCCATGATCCTAATACCAACTCCTTAAATCTTTTATTCAAAGCACCATTTAAAAATGACTGGCCTGACTGCCCATGAACATTGCAAATGCTTACTGCATAACCATTCCCTATGCAATTTTGATAAGAAATTAATATTCATTTTAGACGTCCTGGAATATTGGTTCTCATCAATGATGCAGACTGGGAATTAATGGTTTGAAAATTTAAGAAGTTTTAAAGATCAAAGCACCAGTAAATGTTATTGTGTTGGGCTGTTTTTTATATTTAGGGAGAGACAGAATATATCCTTCAAGAAAATGACAAAGTCGTGTTTATATCAACTCTTCATGGTGGTTAAATATTAAATTTGGAGAGATTTGAGTAGCAAAAGAAAACAGTTTGAAGAAATGATAAAAGTGAAATAATGAATTTCAGCAATAATTGAACAAGTAGGGTGGTAAAAATCTGAGATCATTATCCAATGCAGTAATGAAAATGACATTCACTTATGGAGGTTTGCGACAATGTAATCGTGATTGTCACATATGCAATAGACACAGGGATTTATATTTAACAAAATAAATGTAAAAATGTCAATATTGCCTGTATGGCAGACTCTTGTTTGCTGGCATTCCAAGTCTTTCTACATCAGAAAGGTGCTTATAAACATGGCTTAGACTAATTGTAGGGACTGTACAAAAATCTTAACAGTTTTGTACTTTGCAGACTTGCATGAGTAGACAGAAAAAGGAAAACACTTTGGTCTTTGAATAATATGTTTTTACACTAAATACCTTTGTCATTTGCAAATGCGAAGAAATTAGCGATGGTTCGTTCTAAGTGTAAACAAGGTTGTGAACAGTGCTAACAACGTCCATCTCAGCAGTCAGCCTATTACGTACGGACCAGATAATTTTCGAGGTCGGACGAAGGTCATTTTCGTTCCAAAGCAGAGTTCACTTAGGCCTGTTTTAGACGTCGAACTTTTCATGCGCCGAATTGAATGCAAATGATTTAAACAAAGACTTTAGCTCGTTAACATTAGGTTCGGCACATGTAAAGTTCGACGTCTAAAACAGACCTTACATCACTGAATCACTGTTCCAAAAGGTTGCAATGTAGTACGCAAAAAACTTGGGAATGAAGATGGACAATTAAGTCCGATGACGTGTTGCGATTTGCGAAAATTGAGATTGAACAAAGTGCGGGTGCAGTGAAAATTTTGAAATTTAGGCCCTTGGAAAGACGAGTTGCCGCATTTTAAGAATAATTGGAGCTAATTATTAACAAAGACTGCCTGCCCTCTCGAGGTAAATAGGGGTTCCCAACATCTAGAGGGCCCACACTTGAAAAGCAAATACATGAGAAGTAGGAACGAGTTTGGAGGGCTGGTTCACCTGTGCCTGGTGGTGGTGGACGATCTATTATTACTACCGTTTGCGCTCAAGCTTGCGGCGTGCGATTTTAAAACGCACGTTTCAAAACGTAACGTTTGCCGTTTCAAAACGTACGTTTTGTCACGCCCCCTTTCATGTTTGGGTTATTTGTAAATACCGTTTTAAAATACTGAATGCAGCTATTTGAAAAAAGAAAATTGCGCCTATATAAGTTTACTTTTCTCACTGCAGAGTAAGGTTCCATTTGTAATTCTTATAAAACACTTCCGCAAACGTTACAAATGTAATAAACCTATTTTTGGATATTAGCTAAGTTCGTTTGAACTTCAAAAACATGTCAATTTCATTGTCTAAACATGACAGGGGGCGTAACAAAACGTACGTTTTGAAACGGCAAACGTACGTTTTGAAACGTGAAACGTACGTTTTAAAATCGCACGCCGCAAGCTTGAACGCAAATGGTAGTAATATTTCAGCTATAAAAAGCACGTTTTGCATCCAAGGCGAAGAAGGGTCATGAAGACCCTGGGTACGAGGTTGGGGTCATGCCCATATGGTCATGCCTGCCAAAATGTAAAATGAATAATATAAAAATATTTGCATTTTCCTGTCTACGTTAAGTAAAAGTTCACAAATCATATTTCCAACTAAAGAAATAAAAAGTTACTAAAAATAAAAAAATGTAACTAAAAGAGTAAAAGGTGTCGGTAAGCGGCACTGAGCTATATTGGTGGTAAGCGGTTACTAACATCAGTCTATTACCCAATATCCCGTGCGCGCGCATCTCGATCTTTCTCTTTTGAAACTAGCATAGACAAAATGGTGAGATAATAACATATAGAATCCCTCGTAATCTACTAGTTTTGTAGCAACGTTTGAGTGTTTTGGGATGGTTTAGGAAGCCTTTGTAAATATTTAATACTATATCTCTAAGTTTACTTAATTCTGTGAAAAAACACCAAGAAAACTAGGGGGTTTTGACCTGCAATAGTATATGAGAGATCAACAGTATATAAGTTATACAAAATATAAATGCAATTTTTGGAAATGAATTTGTTCTTTAAATTCTTATTGAATTCTCATTACATTTTTTTGTTTACAAAAAGGAGTATTAGAAATTTATAAAAGAATCCATCCTGATTATTATGTAGTATTTTACAATGGAGTTCTGAATTGTGATCCATCTAATTTTTACAGACCAAGTTGAAGGCTCATGAATTACGGGGCAAGAAGAAAGAGGAACTCGTAAAGCAGCTTGATGATTTGCGAAATGAGTTGTCCTCATTAAGAGTGGCTAAAGTTACTGGTGGAGCTGCCTCAAAGCTCTCGAAAATGTGAGTGTAAACTTACTTCCCCACAGACATACCCCACTGTAGTCTGTAGATGGTATATGTATTCTTTAAATAAAAAGCTGTTGTGGATTTTGTCTGATTTACTGAAAACAATTGTTGGGGTTTTAAAAGATTTTTATGCTGTTGCTCCTTTTGCAAAAGGTGGACAATATTGATGAAAACATTGCCTGTTCTTGTGTGAAACTTCAGTATTTGCAGTGAACATATACAGATTTTAGTTAGCGCCACTAATTAGCACTTAGCCATTTGGGATACATAGCAGAAGCCTCCAACAAATGTTGAAGTTCCAGTTTAAAAATAGGAAATTTTTTAATTGCTGTCACTCACCTTAGTTGTTAGCAATGGTAAACATCTTTAAGAAGGCATTGCATTAGAAACTGTACCGAAATTTAAAATTTTAAGATTGCATGGGAATGAATGAAGATAAAAAATAATTGACAAAAGTTTCAGTGCAATTTTCTGATGAATTAACCAAGATGTACTTGTAATGACTTAATAATCCAATGACCATTCTCTTCTTTAACTTCAGAAAACTTGTGAGAAAATCTATTGCAAGAGTTTTGACAGTCATCTCTCAAACACAGAGGGAACACTTGAAAAAATTCTACAAAACAAAGAAGTACAAGCCACTAGATTTACGACCAAAGAAAACACGGGCCATGAGAAAAGCCCTGAGCAAGAGAGAGGCTTCATTGAAGACCTTGAAGCAGCGCAAGAAGTTGACACACTTTGCCTTAAGAAAATATGCTGTAAAGGAATAAATTGCAACAATTGAACAGATTTTGTGTGTTTTTTCATTTAAAAGAAACCAGACTGTCAAGCAAGGTGGCTCTGTCCCCCAATAAATTTTCCGATAGTTTATTAATAATCGGGGATAAAAATTGTGGTAAATTATGAATTCAATTTGCCTTTCCTAAATAGTTTGCCTTTCCTAAATGGTTTGCCTTTTCTAAATGGGCAACTTTTTGCCCTATGCATGGGATTGATAGGAAATTTCGTGCAGCGGTCACCACAGTGAATTTGTTTAACTTCTGGGTTCTAATTAGCACGTGGTGTGCGTTTTTAGGTGGCGGGATCTGGCGCGAGGTAAAGTTTTAAATATTGCTGTTGATTTTATCTTTGGCTTTCGAATTTTACTGCAGTCATAGTCTCATAGATATACTGCAGTTTATGCGTTTCATTTTTGTTAAAAGATAGGTTAGAACATGAGATCGAGAAAAAGGAGAAAGTCTTCGCCTCGAGTCAAAATTGAAAAGAGTGACGATTTATGTAAATATCCCGATAACGAACCGTCGAAACTGCCGTTTGCAGTTGGGGATGAAGTTTTAGCTTGCTGGCAAGATGGTCTGTTCTATTTAGCTGTTGTTAAAACGGTAAGATTAACTATGGTAAGATTTATAGTTGTTTGCGAAAATTGTTATTAGTGATATTACTTTGGTGCAGTCACAGATCATTCTTCACAAAACAAAAAGAGACAGGCTAATATATTTATAACAATAACGGTGAAAACATGTGATACTACGATCAGCAAAACCTACGGGTCAATTATGGGGGGTACTCATACATACTCTTTCCTCCGCAGAAGTTATTTTAATATTTATTTATTATACTTACTTTACTGTAACTTTACTGTTTTAATAGTGGAGATGGGCTACATTATGCATATTAAATTTGTGTCCCATGGAAGTACCCCTTAGAATTATTAATTAAGCTTTGTTGCAGTTTATATTCAAATTTGTAATATCACAGGTGTGTAAAATTGGAAAAAATAAGATCTTGTGATAGTAAAAAGCATTCAAATCCAAACAAAGATTGATTTCAAAAGGGATCCTATACGCCTACTTAAGAGGACCCTATATTGATATGATTGCAAATTATTCGCCTAATTGTATTTGGTACGTTTTCTTGGTTAACCAGTTTATCTGCTTTTGTTTCTTGTTTAGAAGACAAATAACATTTTCACTTTGGTTGTTTGACTCTAGTCATGTAGGAATATATTACATATTTTTCACTGAAACTGTGTATATTTTTTACTGAAACCTTTTCTATAGATTAATACAGAAAAATCAAAATGTCAAGTTACTTATGAAGATGATTCAGTTTATTGGGTTTTGTTCAAGCACATTAGAACAGGTATGTATCATTAATTTTTCATCTTGCAGATAAGAAATTTTACCTTTCTTTAACTGTGAGTCTAACGCTATTTCTCTTTTGTTTTGGAGTTGCAAAGAGCAAAGATACGTTTACATGTTCTATATGTGAAACAAATGAATCTACTGATCAAAATTGCATTGTTCTATGTGACAACTGTTTTCATGGTAATTCAATGAATCATTATGCCATAGTCAGTTCTGCAAACAATGTTGCTTCATGAGCTAGGTTATGTCATATGATTAATCAGATGTATTATACCTAAAATACAATAATGTAATTAACCTTACAAATTAACATCGTTTCCTGGGTTGGTTGCCTATGATTATCCACATAAACTAATATTGCATACTAACCAGTTTTCCTACCATTATTCCTATAAAAAAGATTGTATTTTTCAACTGAATCTATTCGGGTATAGAAAGCACAGAGTTCTTTATTATTAATTTAATCAATGTTCAGGATATCACCAAACATGCCATACACCAGTCATTGATAAGCAAAGTGTGGAATCAGAATGGCTATGCAGATTCTGTGTATTTTCTAAAGCTGTCAAGGTATATGCTCTAATTTTTCTTTGTTTTTCTCACATGAAAGCACTCTGACAAAAGCATTTCTCACATGTTTTTCTGCATGAAGGCACTCTGACAATGAAAAATATTGCTCCATGTGCAAAATTCTGCCTAGTGGAAAACAGCCCTTAAGGATGATTGGATAATAGTGTCTTGTAGTATAGCATTAATTATGATAATGGTGGTACTGCTCAGGATAGAAATGAGGTAAAATGGTTGAATGAGAGATGCAACATTATGGTGTTGATATTTTTTGTTTAGGCTGGTGGTGCTTTAAAGTGTGGAGTTTATGGTAATTGTTATGCAAATACAAAATAATAAGCTGAAAAATATACGAAAGTGATTCCAAATTAAATAATCATGTCAACATTATTATCATTTATAATGCAAATAAGACTGAATTTTTCTATTGCATCAATTTCAACCATGCTTTATGATATTTATATTTATAGCTGATGCTTTACTTGCCATGAAATCTATCTTACCATATAATGTGAGTCTGTTATTTACTGTAAAATTAGATATTAATACTGCATGCTACTTGTCATCATTCTTCTAAAAATTACAAACATAGGCAATTTCTAAATCAGTGGGCTCAATGCATGGTTATATGCATGGAACCATTATATATATATATATATATATATATATATATATATATATATATATATATATATATATACCGGTATGCAAAGAGGCAACAATAATTCCCCCTGAAATGAAATTATATCTTTAAATACCGGTACTATATATATTGTCTGTCATATATATTGATGCTTTTATGCTTCTTCTATTATTCAGTTGAATACTTTACAATGGGATGCTCATCATAAATGTAATACTGATGAAGTATATTGCTATTGTGCAGGTCCAGGATTGTAAGTGATTTATTTTTTGGCAAAATTAAGAAAATACTCATGTCTGACCTGTTAAGATTCAGATGATTTTACTAATCAAGAGAAGTTTCTTGACATTAATGGAGTATAATACTAATGCTCTTTAACCTAGTAAGAAGCTTTTTTGTTTGACTTTGATGGTGCTATATGTTAATGATATATGGTAATTTGTTACCATGATAAATGGGGACAAAAAACTTGGCAGTGAAATAAATCTCTGCCTATTAAAGAACTAGATGGATGTGGTAAAATTTCTTTGTGGGTATGTGCTAGTGAACCTTAAGTGCCCAACACCCACCAGGCAAATTTGCCACTTCTCCAGCAACATGCAATCATACATGCCATATGTATTAATGAGCCTTTTGCTGTGTTTGGTCACAATTGCACTGTTGATTGGTAATGACCATGGGTTGCTCAGCCCTTATAATTACTCATCACTGTTATCATATATATGACAGGTTATATTTTGAAAACAATCTATTAGGTGGTATTACAAGATGTTGGAATGCCAGAAGTGTAACCAGTGGTTCCATGAAGGTATCATAAACACTAACATGAATATCAGTTACCTAATATTGCTGCAGATAAAGGCTCTCCATATATATTCCTTGAGTGTGGCTCACTTTTTTTTTCGTTTGTTTTGTGTTTTGACATATGGTCACTCTTTTATTTTAGCATGCCTACAGTGCCTGGACTTTCCTCTTTTATTGGGTGATAGGTACAGTCATTACACAAATCTTCTCCCTCTTTTTTAGATATTTAATCAATAAAGAATTTTATTTTATGTCTATAATATTGTCAATAGACAAATAGATGGAAATTACTCAAACAGAAATTTATATACAAATTTAAAGCTTACTAGATGAAGCTCCAGCTTATTTGATCTGAACCTGCAAAATTTGTTAAAACATTGTCTTTGCAATTACCACAAACTGAAATAAACTGGCTAGTTAATAAATGGAACCTCGTTGACACACCCTGTAGTGATTAGGTCTTATCCGCATATCCTCGTGTCTGTAAAGGCAGTTACTTGCTGTAGTACGATTTTTGTTCTTATTTACTTTTTTTATTTAGGTTTTATTATTTTTTGTGTGCTGTATGTAATAATGGTGAAGAATATCTTAAACGTATTCAACTAAAATGGTAAGAATACTGTAAATCCTGATTTGAGAGCTTTGCATCAACGTTTCTTGGTTGAGTGGGAACCCTGATATCAGTGCAGTTTCACTGATACAAGATGAATCTATATGTTAGCAATTTAGTATGATTGTGTACTTGTCAACCAAAATAAAATCCTCTTTCCCTTCCTGAGGCAAAACGCAAGTGACTATATGAAATGGTCGCTTCCTAGAAAGCAATAGTTATTCATAGTATGTTTCTTTTTCCAGGACTGATATTGCTGCATTGGTATTATATAATCTTTCCTTGAAGTACCACAAAAGAGGCTTCAAAAACAACGACGTTGAATGCTTTTTACGTGACAACTGGGATGCATTGCAATGTGGCAATGTAAGTATAAATACTTTATTAGCCTTTATGAAAGATTTATATCTATGTTCCTCCCTAGCAGTGCCGTCGCTAGAAGCTAGATCTGGGGTATGTACATATTCATATATTCGTCTTATGTCCGACGACTCCGACTGATTTCTTTCCATGGCTATTGTTTTCACCCTTATTTGAACATTAATATGAATATGCAAACCCCCCCCCAAATGAAGCTTCCAATGACGGTCCTGCTTCCCAGGGTCGTTCGATCATATATGGTAAGCGATGCAGAGAGATATGTTATTTTTTCCATCAAGAAATGAAGAAAGTATAAAACGTCTACTCGATATTTCTTTACAATTAATCTTCATTTTAACTTAATCATTATCCTCCTAAGTGCCTGAAATTTCATCGCTCTTGAGGCGTAGCTAAACTATTTTTCACGATCTGATCTGTACTAACTATTAGAAAGGTCTGCATCAGTTATCCACTTTCTCAGGTTCATACCAATCTTATTATAACCAGATCATAACCATAAAATCGGCATAATTTTGGAAATTATTTCAATCTAGTTGTATTACACCCCAGAAAGAGAACGAATGGAAAAACTCGTTGAAGTTATGAAAAAACAGAAACGCAAGTGAGACATTGTGGATTTCTTATTTGGTAGAGAAAGTTTGCTGCAGTCTATTGCTATGCAATTGCAATTAATTACCTCTGATATTTTCAGCATAAAAATTCCATTGTTTTATCGTGCGTTTGTGGCGATCTATTGTGTTGGTCCATACAGGGTTATGTGATGTTTCTCATGCAATATGTGTTGTGTAGATTTCGTTGTCAAAGCGGTGGCAGTGGTATTGTGACTTGGTCATTATTTATTCGTTGTGCTCCCTTCCCAACGAAAGCGAGTTTACTTCATGAAGCAAAGTTGAGGGAGGACGAGAGTGGTGGAACGACTTCGGAGGTCCCTGATTGGTACGTGTTAAAAAAACATTGCTACATTTTTGCACCTATAACGCCTAACGTGACTCGTTTTTCTCCCAGATTTTTCCAATGCATGTGCTTTTATAATATTTCTAAACTAACTTTCCAGGCGAAAGCCCCTGGGTTAAGACGTTATAACGTTTTGCATATTTTTTAAGCGGGTGATGAACCAATTCATTCACGTCATTCGCCATTTTTGTTATTTCTAGTAACGGAAATTATTTACAAGACGACGACGATATTGAAGACAATTCATCAACGTCGAATGAGGTACTTTATCATTTGATAATATTTTCTAAAGCATTATTTTTCGTAAAAAAACAACTGCCATCGATCGTAGCTTCGTGATCGTGTCTACCCGCACAGAAAAAAGTTCATGCAGTTACAACAGGCGAATATATCGATCATTTTTAACTACTCCATGTGTTTTTAAATTTCCACAACCAACGCAGCAAAGCATTTCTTCGATTTATCGCTATTTTTCGATATGATTGTAGATGTTGACTGTTGTTTGTGGTGTTTACTGACGTTTCAACATGGCACACATACTAGCACAGTGTACTAAAGCTATGTCAGCAGGGCTCAAAATAACGAAATGTCACTCGTGCTAAATGGCGATTTTTGCCATTCGTGCCACATACGGAAAATACCTGTTTGATAATTCTCGCCAGCCAAAATCTTGCCATGTGCGAACACCGAAAGCTACATCTGCTGTTGCATTTGCCTGTGCACTGTGACTGAGGACAATCCACTAAGCAGATCGTCAGCTTTCATTCGCCGCACAAAGATTTTTGGCACGCGAGACTGTTATTGATCAATTACTGATCAAACATGTTTAATATTTACTTTACGAGGCACGAATGACTAAAGCTTCTATAAAGGTACCTGCACACGAGAGTTATCTCCTGACGCCATTGGGTACGCTAGGCCTAGGGGATCGAAACACAAAAACACCAGTTATGTTAACACCACTATCACTAACAGTCCTCAGGACTGCACTAACAAGGACAATCCGCCTCTTTGGGCATATAACTGTACTTCCGTCAAAACATTCACTTTAAAATTTGCGAGATTTAGCGACCTAATTCACGAACAGTTCGGTTTCAAAATTTTCATTTCTAAACCATTTAAAGATGAATCATGGAAGTGAGATTGGCACATCAGAGTCCTCGACTAGTGAACAAGTTCCTCTCTTTCCATCTCTCTCCATGTTTAAATACTTAATGCCGGAGTGCAGTTCTCGGGCGAGCGAAAGCCCGGATGCCTTATCGGTCTGTGAGCGTTACTCCGACCTTTGTCAAATGCCTGGTGATAAACGGCCGCGATCACGTGACTCAGCGGATTCATCATCTCTGAATGAACCAATAGAAAAACGTTTTGTAAATTACGTTGAGCGTCTATCCAATGGTGTAACGTCGTACGCGGGAACCAATGGTCGGCTGGCTTGTGGCGAGAATTGTAAGCTACTTGGTCGAAGATTTGCAAGAAACGGCCGGATCGAATATCTAGTTCAATGGAGTGGTGTTACACCTGACAGTTTTTGACAAATTGTGGTTAAATTTTCAGGCGAAATTGGAACTGTCTTGGAATTAAATTTACGGTTGTAAAACGGCATACAATGAAATTTGAGTTAAAGCGAGATAAATTTTAATCGACTTTTGTTTACAGGCTAAAACATGTTTCTGCTATGGTGATAATAGTATATATTGCATGTATGTTGAAGTTGGAACATAAACTACTAATTGTTAATTAGAAAAGGTTTTATTTTGTCGTGAACGGTGAACTGGCATATTTTATCAAATGTCCGCAATTATAAATATTAAGATTAAATATTAAGATTATTTAAGTTTATTTCAGAAAGATAACTGCTAAAAATATCTGCAAACATAATTTGTACCCTGATTGTTTTGTTATTATTACTGTATTAGTACAATTCTTAGGGACTACAGAGTCTGTTTAAAAGTGGTGGACCAAGAAAAATTTATTTAATGATTTTTTGTATGAGAAAAAGGGGGACGTTCACCTTCGATCCCCCTGCAATTAAAATTGTAGTTTAATTATTTTCAAAATTTCAAAAAAATCGGTAACGCGGGACCAAAGGAAAAATTGTGATTTTCGTCAATTTTTTGAAATTTAAAAATTCGGTTCCAAATGCCTCGAAATGGTTGAAAACTAAGCAGAATTGCGTTCTTTGATGAAAACAGTACATTTGAACACATAAATACATACTTTGATGAATTTCAAAATTTCAGATAAATCAGTAACGGGGGACCAAAGGAAAAATTATGATTTTCATCAATTTTTTGAAATTTAAAAATCGGTTCCAAATGCCTCGAAAAGGTTGAAAACTAAGTCGAATTACATTCTTTGATAAAAACAGTACATTTGAACACATAAATACATACTTTGATGATTTTCAAAATTTCAAAAAAATCGGTAACGCGGGACCAAAGGAAAAATTGTGATTTTCGTCAATTTTTTGAAATTTAAAAATTCGGTTCCAAATGCCTCGAAATGGTTGAAAACTAAGCAGAATTGCGTTCTTTGATGAAAACAGTACATTTGAACACATAAATACATACTTTGATGAATTTCAAAACTTTCAGAAAAATCGTAACGGGGGGACCAAGGGAAAAATCGTGATTTTTGTCAATTTTTTGAAATTTAAAAATTCGGTTCTAAATGCCTCGAAATGGTTGAAAACTAAGTAGAATTACATTCTTCGATGAAAACAATACATTTGAACACATAAATACATACTTTGAAGAATTTCAAAATTTCAGAAATATCGGTAACGGGGGACGAAAGGAAAAATTGTGATTTATTGCTTCCCTTCATTAGCTTCATATCTAAAAGATACCTTGTCATGACGAGCTCTGTGTTCTGTATTTTTGACATATATTAAATGTTTAAAATTTGGGAAAATTTTGACAAATACCAAAGTAATTTTAAAACTTTGGGATTTTTGACAATATGTACTAGTGTTTTCTAACAATTTTGACAGATCCCAAGGTGTTTTAAATTTTTAATACTTTTAATTTTTTTTAAATTTTTGACATGTATATTATTTTTGACGTGTATACTATTTTTATTTGCCGCGACACAGTAGACCAAAACAAATAGATTCCATTTGTCAACGCCAAAAAAATTTAAGAGAATTTCAAAAAATTTACAACTCTTTCAGTTTCGAGAAAATCAACCTGTTTAAAATTTTAAAGATTCTGACACAATTTCTACATACAAACCAGTGTTTCTACAATTTCTACATATATACCAGTGTTTTGTTATTCCAAAATTTTTGACGATTTTGACACATACCTAGCTATGTTCAAAATATTTGACATATAGCTGTATTGGTGCTTTTTAGAATTTTTAAAATTTTCAAAATTCTTAAAATGTTTGAAAGATTTTGACATCTATATTGGTGATTTTTTAAATATACTTTTTTTTTTAAAGTTTGATAAAATTAAAATTTTGACATAAACACTAGTTTAAGATGTTTAATGCATTCATTAATTAAATCATAAAGGAAGTTAATGTTAGGGGTCTTCGTATTGTAGAGTCTCGGAACCGTTAGGATGATCCTGGCTTCAAATATTTCCACAAAAGTTCTGCGAAATGGCTACAAATTTCTTTCGTTTTTGAGCATATTTTGATATTTGGTTGGTTTTTGGAAAATTGAAAAATTCGTTCATTTTGGCCAAAATGGTAAGGGTATCTTTTACCATAAGTTAACCCTATTTGTATCGGGGTTTTTTGATGTTGATATGGCACACCCCTCAGAAATTCTGTCGATTACCTGAAATTATCCTTTTAGTTATATTTTTAGGAAGTTTTATCTCTCTTTAACCTAAAAATAACAAAAAAAGTTGAATTCACATCCAAAATGCTGCGTTTTGGCCCCATTCGATACGACCACCTATCGAAAAATGGCAAAAATCCCTAAATATTCTATGATTTTGGTTCTTTTCTATGAAGACACAAAAACATTTTGGATGTGTTATTTTTTGTTTTTTAGATTCAAACGACATAGTTTAATGTTATGGCATACCTCTGATGTCCATAAATACTACTATATTTCTTTTTCATAAATCATCAACCCCCATTTTCCCCATTTCGGTTCGACACCTTGTTTGACAAATGTCGTCAAACGCCTGGATAACTTTGAACTTTCACAGTTGTGATGGTAGAGGAAAAATATTAAAAAGTCATAAAAGGGCAAGCGAATGGAATAATTTGTTTAGGAATGACGAACAAATATTTATAGGGTGCGCACATGTGCGTATAAATAGGGTTAAGGTTAGATAAGGTAATGTAAGGGTACCTTTTACCATTTTAGCCGAAATTGCCGAAAACTTTCACAAAAATGTCTTAATATGCTAAAAATGGCTTCAAGACTGACCTCTTTGGTTTTTGAGCATATATGCATGGGTTGCTTTTTGGAACAAGCGTAGGTTCGAATTTAAAAAACTCATGTTTACTTTTACAATTAAATTTTTAAAATTAAATTTTTCAATCTCGAGAAAATCACCCTGTCAAATTTTCGTGAAAAAAAAATTAAGGTAAGTAAACATGAGCCTTAACCACTCGGCCACCGGAATAATATATATATTGTAAGGTTGGTAACAACATACGATCCGGTGGCCGAGTGGTTAAGGCTACGGCCTACCAGGTTGTAAGCGTAGGTCGAGTCTTGCAAGGGAAAAGTGCGATTTTTCCAGCCGATATTACCACTTAATTAAAAATTTGTCGAAAAGGATTTAGTCAAATAAAGAAAAATAACTTTCGACAAATGATGTGGTGGTCTAGTGGTTAAGTCGTTCGTCTCTCAATCCGAGGCCGACGTTTCAACTCCTGGCAATGCAAAAAATTTAGCCTGAAAAATTTCGGTGTGATTTGGAAACCTTAAAGCAGTTAAAAGACTGTAAATTGAAAAAAGTTTGAAAAAAAAAACTGAAAAAAAATTCTCGGGTTCAAAAGTACTTGAAAATTGAAAAAAAAGCGCAAGTCAATACATTTTTAAAAACATGTGTCTTCTAAAGAGACTGAAAACTAAAAGTCGGAAAAATTTTAAAAATTTTCCGCTTTTAAAAAACTCATGTTTACTTACCTTAATTTTTTTCACGAAAATTTGACAGGGTGCTTTTCTCGAGAGTGAAAAAAATTAATGAAATTCTCTCTGTTTTTTTTGACGCGGAAGTATTTTGTCTTGGGCTACTGTGTCTGGGTTGACGCACTAGCCCAAGACAAAATACCTCCGAAAAAAATCAGAGAGAATTTCAAAAAAGTGAAAAAAATTATTTTAATTAATTTTTTCACTCTCGATAAAATCACCTTATCAAATTTTCGTGAGAAAAATTAAGGTAAGTAAACATGAGTTTTTTAAGACGAGAAATTTTAAGAAATTTTTTTTCCCACTTTTAGTTTTTTTTTAGAAGACACATGTTTTTAAAATTTATTGACTTCCGCTTTTTTTCAATTTTCAAGTACTTTTGAACGCAAGAATTTTTTTTCAGTTTTTTTATTTCAAGCCAGGACACAGTCACCCAAGACAGACACAGTGGCCCAAGACAAAATATTTCCGCTTCAAAAATAAAAATCAGAGAGAATTTCAAAAAAGTGAAAAAAATTAATTATGTATGTCTTGGGCTACTGTGTATGTCTTGGGCTACTGTGTCTGGCTTGACGCAGTTGCCCGAGACACAATACTTCCGCGTCAAAAAAAAAATCAGAGAATTTCAAAAAATAATTAATTTCTTTAATAAACAGTCTTTCCGAAAGTCCGAGGAGTCTTTTAACTGCTTTTAAGTTTCCAAATCACACCGAAATTCTTCAGGCTAATTTTTTTGCATTGCCAGGAGTTGAAACGTCGGCCTCGGATTGAGAGACGAACGCCTTAACCACTAGACCACCACATCATTGGTCGAAAGCTGTTATCTTTATTTGACTAAATCCTTTTCGACGAATTTTAAATTAAGTAGCAATTTCAGGTAGAAAAATTGAACCTATCCCATGCAGGATTCGAACCTACGCTTACAACCTGGTAGGCCGTAGCCTTAACCACTCGGCCACCAGATCGTACGTTTTTACCAACCTAACAATATATATTATTCCCTAATCCGAGTGGTTAGGCTCATGTTTACTTACCCTAAATTTTTTTTTCACGGGGTGATTTTCTCGAGAGTGAAAAAAATTTTTTTGATTTTTTTTTGACGCGAAAGTATTTTGTCTTGGGCTACTGTGTCTGGCTAGACGTTGGTCTCTCAATCCGAGGAGGAACTATTAAAAACACGTGTCTTCTCAAAAGAAATTTAATAAAAGTTGGCATCAACAGATTTTCAGAAAATTTTTAAAAGTCGTCAATTTTGGTCAAAATTATAAATTAACTTTACCATTTTGGCCGAAATTGACGATTTTTTCAATGTTCCAAAAACATACCAAATATGCTGAAAAAGCGAAGTGAGCAAAGAGATTAGTCTTGATAAATATTTGAAGCTATTTTAAGCAATGTTAATACATTTTTCAGAAAATGTTCAAAAGTTATCAATTTTGGCCACAATTGTAAGGTGTGCCCTTTACCGTTTTTGTCAAAATTGACGATTTTTTCAATTTTCCAAAAGCATACCAAATATGCTAAAAGAGCAAAGAGATTAGTCCTAGTAAATATTTGAAGCTATTTTAAGCATGTTAACACATTTTTAAAAAATTTTCAGAAGTCGTCAATTTTGGCCAAAATGGTAAGGTTAATTTACAATTTTGACCAAAATTGACGATTTTTTCAATGTTCCAAAAACATACCAAATATGCTGAAAAAGCGAAGTGAGCAAAGAGATTAGTCTTGGTAAATATTTGAAGCTATTTTAAGCAATGTTAACACATTTTCAGAAAATTTTTAAAAGTCGTCAATTTTGGCCACAATTATAAGGCGTACCTTTACCATTTTGGCCAAAATTGACGATTTTTTCAAAGTTCCAAAAACATACTAAATATGCTAAAAAAGCAAAGAGATTAGTTATAGTAAATATTTGAATCGGTTGTTGCCATTACCACCCATCCACAACAAAAGAGAAACGAGATCAACAAATCCTAACAACTAAACTTCTCATTTAGAACAACACGATGCAAAACCACCACATTCCAGAAGTCTTACTTAAATAGATCAACTCGTTTATGGAATGTCCTACCAAGCGATTTAACAGGCAATGAAATCAGCCTAAGTCGATTCAAAAGTGGACTTTTCCAATATTATGAAGTAGCTGTGGCAACTGTATATGACGTTGAAGACCCAAGAACATGGAAATCTATATATGTTTGTGCTGTAATAAGTGTCGTAAACTGTCATGTGAATTATCGTGTTGTTATTAAGGCCTGTTTAAGCGGGTGCCATTCTGTAACAACGCTCAAAAAGGAATTTATCTCAACTTTTGTTAACTAGATTGAGTAAACATCATGTAATGAACTGGTCAAAAGTAGTAGTATTTATGTCATCATTTTGTTTGATGTATTGCATCCGTTTAATTTGGTTTTTAGTTTGTGTGTTTATCATTATACATAGGGCCGCTGTAATTGGCTAAAGCTGTAGCGTGCACCTAGCCAATTCTGTTTAGATGTATGCGTGTGTTTCCATAACTATATCTAGTATATGTATTTATGTACATGTCAGTATATTCATTAATTGGCGAAGATGAATAAATATTTGAAGGCATTTTCAGCGTATTAAGTATAAATACAGGACATCTAGTGGTGATGTTAATACATCTAGATTTCCACGAATATTCTTACAAATTCTGGATAATCTTTCTCAAACCAATCAGGAACCGTAATAGAAAGAAAAGGTAGGCGTTCCTCCATTTTCCCAATAACAGTTGTTCGTACTGAACCAAAGCGAATACCATGATCCCCAAAGGTCACCAAGATTGTGTTATCAAGGTAATGTCGTTCTTTCATCAATTTAAAAAACCCGAGTAAGTCCATTCTCCATTAAAGACAAGTCATTCAGCCGACTATGACAAATATCGGAAAAGAATGTCATCTCATTTGGGTGTTTTGGGATAAGCTTGAAACATACTTCGTACCATTTCTAGACTAGCATTGTGAATAGCTGGTATATCAATATGGCAAGAGATAATGATCAATTGGTGGATCACAAAACCCCATAAGACGATAAATAAATGCACCGAGGTCAACCTCGTCTTCATTGAACATTGTAGCGTAACCATAGTTCCGAAAATCTTTGAAAATCCATGGCCAGTTATCAAGACATTTCGCACCTTTCATCCTAAAAATGTAATGCCCTAAGTGTGCTCAATAAAATATAACTTGCACAGAAGATTTGAAACTTGCACACGGTAAAAACTGATGAATTTTAAAATTTCAGAAAAATCGGTAACGTGCGACCAAGGGAAAAATCATGATTTTTGTCAATTTTTTGAACTTTCGAAATTTAGTCCCAAATACCTTCAAAAGGTTCAAAAGTAAGTAGAATTACATCTTTTAGTCCGAATCATATCTTTGAACACGTAAAATCATACTTTAATGAATTTCAAGATTTCAGAAAAATCGGTTTTCGTCACTTTTTGAACTTTCGAAAATTAGTTCCAAATACCTCGAAATGGTACAAAACTAAGTAGAATTACATTCTTTGATGAAAACAATCCAGCTGATCTGGGTATAAAAATCAATCAATCAGAAGCCAGATCTTCGACAAAACTAAATTATCATTTCCTTCATTGCATATGACTTCGACACTCGAAAATATCAAGTAATTTTATTATATTTATGTGAAAACACGTTTATTTTTTCCCAACTGCATATTAGAATTTAAATTTTTCACCCTTTATACTATTAGTTGGAAGAATAAAGAGAAATAACACCAGGCACATGATAATTTAGTTTTGTCGAGACGCTTTATGACGTCATGATCTCGGATAAGCTGGATACATTTGAATACATGAAATCATACAATTTTTTGAGCTTTCGAAAATTAGTTCCAAATACCTCGAAATGGTTCGAAACTAAGTAGAATTACATTCTTCGATGAATTCTTCGATTCAGGCTATCGAATCGATTTTATCAACCTTAATGTTATATCTCTATTTCTAGGCTTTTACATGGTGTGAAACTTATTTCATTCTGGCAAATGCACGTCTACGGTGGTGGTTATAAGCTGAAAATATTTTTAAGGTGGTTTAATATAACACTGTGATATAACATATATAGGCAGTCACAGTGGACAGCCCCGGTCAATGCGGTTACGTCACACATAAGATAGTATAACCATTGACCGGGCTGTCTGTGGTTATTAGCCGAACATTTTTTCTCAAAAAATAAGTCGGTTTTGATACATGTTTAATAACAGTGTTTTTTTCTTTGAAAAAGAAGATAGAGAAAAAAATAAAAAAGAACATCGAACTAATAAACAAGACCCTCGAATAACCGAAGAAACTAACCTGAAGGTGTTGTCAGTAGTTCTGTTTCGGAGTTTGCAAAAAAGAAAAAATTCAGAAAACAAAATAGCACCAGCTCGTATTGGAAGCGGGACACACGCACGAGCGACTTGACCACTCGGCTACATGTTTCACCACTGGAAAATCCACTAATTTAACGTTATATATAGTGGTCATTTATAAAAAATGTATTGAAATTTTTAAATATATAGGTTATCGGGCATGTTGTAAAATACGGACTAGACTGGATTTGTAAATCACGGACTTGTAAACCACGGAACCACGGAACCACGGAGTTCGTGATATAAAACGCGGACTTGTAAATTTTGGGAATTTTCCTTCGAAAGGGAAAATTAGTGGAGAGATCTGAGGAAAATATTATTATTAGTCCGTTATTTACAAGTCCGCACTTTACAAGTCCGCGTTTTATATAACGGACTGAGTCCGTCATTTAAAAGTCCGTGATTTACAAGTTCGCGCTTTTCCGGTCCAGTCCAGTATAGTCCGCATTTTAAAACATGCCAGGTTATCGCGGGCGCAACCTCCTTCTCCACGTGGAAAAATAAATAACTAAAAAGTTGGTAATAAATTATAATAATTAAGAATTAGTGACGTCATACTTCACGCACCGCCTGCATTGCTGGTCTCACGCAGAAGCCGCTTCCTTATACTACACTTCACATTCCTTGTCAAGCAGTTGTTGATAAAACCAGTTAAAAGGATGATCACAATCTTGTGCGTGTGCCCTGTAAATATTTTCAGGGATACTTTGCTTTCTTGTTATCGTTTTATCCATATCTCGGCGAACAAGTTTTTCGATAATTGCTAAAAATGGAAGAAAAATATGAACGTATGCATGCATGCATAACAAGATGTCGAGGACAAATCGACCGCAAGTTTTTTGCCCTCTTTTTTTAACTCCTGAAACCAGACATGTACTACAAATTTTTTTTAATGTTTCAACTTACATGAGATATTTTGATGTGACCATTCCTTCAGTTTGTTCATGGTCGATTGATGAACGATTCCTGATGTGGTCTTTATAACCTTTGATGAATAAAAAATACATATAGTTAACGCATGCGCCCAACCACTAAAAAATATTGTAAGTAGAGTTAGTAGACAAAAATCAGGGGCCGGTTGTATCAAGCCCGTTTAGCTTAAACGGTGTATAAGTCAAAATTAAATAACACTCTTACGTCTCTCTTGAATAAGTCAACTTGGGCAACTTGAATATTATGCACTGAATATGTAGCTGTAAACAGTATCGTTGTATTAAGGTTAAAAACATTTAGTTTGCTTGCTGAGTAAAAAGATAGACTTGCTTTCTATTTTGAGCTTATCCATGCACCGTTTAAGCTAAACGGGCTTGATACAACCGGCCCCAGGCCTCTACAATACGATATTATTAATAACTTACTATTTCATTCATATTGTGGGGGCTTAGGCTTTGAACAGCAACAAAACATCGCGATTTACACTCCCTAAGACCATCAAGAGAAATTTGTTAAATTGAAATGATTAAACTACTGACTGTGAGACTATGAGAGCATACTCGTTCACTTCAGATGATATTTTCTCCAAAACTCCATCAGCTGTTTTGTTGCATAATTTCATCACCAATATTTTCTGTTTTTCCTTAGGTTAATAGTAAGAAGAGTAATATGAGACACACTGACACATCTTCCGGGAATGCCGTTTCTCCCTCTAGTTTATATTCATATAGTCAATTGTATGAGGATGATACCCAGATATACCTTAAATTCGTCCTTATTCACCTCCTGCCAATTACTATAGAAATGAAAAAATTTACATGGTTTAAGCATGGACTATATATATTCTTGAAGTTTGGCACTGGGGCAACGTCAATACAAATATTTGTTTCTTGATACAAGAAATGTCTTTCTGTCTGTACCCTACAGGCTTAAGCGCGATCAACGAGGGTATTTTTCATGTTAATTGCACTTCAGAGGGGTCTGTGTTTCAGACTGGACGATTTGAAACGATAAAGTTACGTTTGGTATTCTCAATTAAGATAAAGTGGACAAATGAAATTAAAACATATAAACAAAGAGCTTACTTCACATTAAATGTTGTCTCAGTAACTAACTTTTGTTTTGCCCGTTCGATTTCAGAAGGGATTACATCGTTCTTGATTATATTCACTATATTTTGATACAGTCTGCATGTGAAAGCATAGAAAAATAGATTCAGTGGTCACTATGATTTGGAAAGGAGACTTGTGGTACAGCATGAAGAGTCTTACATAGTATGTATAGTTTCATAATTACCTTTTTGCAACGAAGTCAGCATCTTTTCTCAGAAATTCAGGTTGATTTCGAAAGAAGTTATCTTCAAGTTTTGTCTACGCGAATTATAAAAGACGCGTTTTAAAATGTTTCTTCACCTCTTTGAAAAAGTTACGCCCTTTTACAGAAGAAAGCATGCAGGAAAAACTCCTGAAACGCGAGAGTACCTGTAACACGGGACGTGACGATGGCAAAGCTTCCACATCATCGGCGCAAACTGGTTTGATCTTCTTCATATAGCCTAAGAAAATATTCGTCCATTATTACTCAACAAAGTTTCTCGGATCAATGAATTGCCCGAAAGCATTTATATTTTGTATTTAACGAACGTGCGTGCGTTTCGAAAACATGTACCTCGTTTTGCCTTTCCGACGACTGCTTGAGCCAGAATTGAACGAAGTTCACCTGTCAAATAAATTAATATATTAAACAATTCCATAATATAACATACTGCAGGCCGATACGAGAAAGACATATTTTGTACGAAAAAAGCAGGCTTAGATTGATAGTTCACAACGGTAGGGACAGCATGTATATAAAAGATGTTGGTCAACCAAGTTCATCTTATCCTAGATGGAAATTATGATAGATTTTAGTTCTATAATGAGAAGAAGTTTTTATAGATCAGAATTTACCAATGCCGAGGTCGAATTTCTCAATTCAGAATCACAGGACATCCTCTCGGAAAAATTCGTGAACATCGTTTCTGGAATAACAGGAATCTAAAAATCATAATATTCTGGCTGAAATCATTATGTCCATGGGGAATTAGTAAAACAAATTACGTGAACTGTTAATGAGGATGAAAATAATAAATTTAGGAAATTAAATATACGCAGTACAGCTGTAGCTACCTCAAACAACCAACCTAAAGCCACGCTCAACATTAAGCTATTGCGATTCATATTGGGAGAGGAATTTTGAGACAACATATTTCTGTAAAGAAAATTACGGTATGGTATGAGCTCGGGGAATAAACGGTGGTGGACATTGCAGTGTCTAAGCAAGAGAGAGAAATAGCTGAAATTATATCGACACGTAAAGGGAAGAGACGAAACAGAGCTGGTCAGAGATATCATGAAATGGAAAGATCTAAAGAAGATGTGAGGTGGTGGATAGTGCAGAGAAGACGAGGGAAGAAGGTTGAGATGATATACACTAGGTGCCAAAAATGAGTAAAAATTGCATCTTCGCAAATTTTGCATGAATGGTAGAACTGTATCCTAAGATAGGGCTTAGAAAGTAGCGGCAAAATACCTGTAAATATGATGTAGGAAATCAAAAACTTTGCTGTAGTAATCCAGAAACGGAGAAACACTATCCATCATACTCAGCAGGGTAATGTCATCACCAGTCTCTGTTCATCACGCGCTTTTTTCAAGTAACACATTAGGTCTATCTGCTGTGAAATCTGGTTTTTACAAACGATAAGTTAACAGGTTAACAGTTAACATCAGTTCACATGAAATATTTCATATAACACAGACCCTAACCTGATTTCTGGCTTTTATTACCGTTTCCATCACCGCTGTTGGTAAACCTGAACTGTTGTGATAAGGAGAAAACACGAGAAAACCCAGAAATTTTCCCAGAGTTCTTAGCGTGATCAAACATGATGCGAACTTCACTTGAAGTTTGCAGCTTTCGTCATCTTTTACCATATCATCTTCAATTGAATCCTCAAGTTCTTCTAACCCCACGTTGTTTAACTAAATTGAATCGAATTTTACTAAGACGAGGGATAGGGGCAACGGTACACCATGATTCTGGTACGGTAGTACCAACATTTAGCCAGTAAATAGAACCAACCTCGTTAATCTTGACGATAAGACTGTCGATTAAATATCTGTTGAACGAAGGGCTATATGGAAAAATATATAGGATGTGGACATAACAACAATAGCCAATGCATGAGATAATCTCATACACGACATAATGGCGTGATCTACAGATTAGAAGCATGCAGCCAAAGTACCTCATCGCAGCAACAATGAATTCACGAAAAAATTCTTCAGTTTCCGTAAAACCAGGAGAAGGGCATGGCCCCGCTGTTGTTGACTGGGGAGCAACTAGTCGTTGCTGAAGTCTGAAAGGCAAAAAAGGTTTAAGATGCATTCTTGAAGGTCCATGGATGGCTATATCTGCTCTTTGTGTTCACCTGAAAAATTTCTCCGGATTTGATTTGAAAAGATTTCCAACGAATTCTGGCGATGCTCCCTCGCTAAAGTTCGGCAGAGTGTTCTCGTAGCAACACATCTGTATTAACTGTGTTTGGAATAGTCTTGCAAAATGAACATAGTTTGATGATCCAGGCTTCTGATTAACAACATAGCTACAGTATAAATGAAATAAAATAGCAAGACACACTAATTTCGATGTTTCTCAAGCAAAGGATTTGGTAAAGAAATTACCAACGTAAGCTGATTGTGAACTTTATTCTATTTAAACAGAATTTTACCGTATTTTATCTCCTAATTTTTCTTCCAAAGACCAGCCTGGTTTACCACAATGCTCTTCCCATTCCCGGACTATTTCATAAAACGTGTCCCTGTTGTTGTTGGAGAAAAAACATGATCATAAAGGCATCTAAACTGTTACAACCAATCAAATCTCGTTTGAATCTGTTACCTTTGTCTTTTGAAACAGTGGAAGGCTAAATCCGACGAGAAATTGTTACGATTGTCGATGCTTGCTTGAAATGGAACGCTGTTCAACGGTGATTTCAACAATGAATAAGGTACCTGGGGAAACATACACAGAGTCAATTGAAATATATGAATTTCGGATTCCTTTCACATAAAATCGGTTAATGGTTTTATTACATTACTCATCAATACTGTTGGATAGAGTATCTTTAACTCTTCGTTAAAATTTCTTGAAAATTCCGTAATCTAAAAACAAGAACATAAAAATATCATTCGTTGATTGAGAGAATCTTCTTGATCTAGGAATGAAATTTCCGAGGTCTTTCATACCCTCGTGTTGTCCAAGAGCAATCGTAAAGTTCCTTTGTCGAGAAGTTTGATAATTCTAAAATGAAAATAAAGAATAATTTGAAAGAATATATTCACTATAAATTTATATTCGCTATAACTATAAAGAACTCCTAGTAGAATTATATTTTGTGTACCCTAGCAAGTTTTCAAGCACACGAACGGCGTAAAAAACACAGTTATGGACGCTCTTAAGATACCCCGACGTAACGTGGTCTGTAAAGATTTAAGAAAGAAGATTTTGAATGATAAAATGGCAGAAAGTAATTCTCAAAACAGTGGAATACCATTTTCTTGAACATTTTCTCCTTTCACTGTTAAAAGTTGAAGTATGAAACACATCTCAACTACAATGTTTGGCACCAGATTCTCTAAAAACACAAATATTACATTGTAAACTTGTGCTGCAAAGGACACTTAGATCTAGGAGACACAAGTTAGTTTAGTTTCATGTGTTTTAACCATTTTTAAGTTGAACAGAGAGCCAGGCTTTACAACTACCTGCATGCTATTAGATTATGAGGTTATTAGGTTTTGGGTCTAAAAACTGGAATATTTTGTCTTAGAATGAGGCCAAATACAGCAAAGCGCTGGCAACAAAAATTACAAACATTGTGTTCTGACCTAGAATACAAAATGAATGAACATCAGCTAAACGTTCAAGAACATCGTATCCTGTAACAAATTCTCTTTTTGCCAATACAGAATCTGTACTTGAATTTAAATCTATTGAGGTGTCAGTATAGCTTGAATTTCTCTCCATATCTTGAGAATCACCCCATTCATCTTTACTGTTGTATTGAGAACAGGAAAGATTATGATTGATTTCATCATTTTGGCAAGCTGATGTTCTATTTCCGCATCCTTGCTGCATGAAGTCTTCTAGCTTTAACTTCACCTTGGTTTTGCGGGTATTTTTAGGACTAGCTGAACCACTATTATGTTTATATCCATGTTTGAATTTCTCTGTAGAAGATGAGTGCTCGGATCCAAAGGAAGTTTCAAATGTGAAACTGTTGGTAAGATTTGATGAATCTCTTCTGGCATTAGCTGGTGTTGGTGTAATACGCCGAGTTGGTGTGATCCGTTGGGATGGTGTTGAACTTTTCCTAGAAAATAGAGAAGTTCTTATGTGAATGCAGTCAAGACTCCTTCATGTTTATTTAAAACTAAAAAAAGTTGTTATAAGTGTGGTACCACCAAACTTACGCCAGTCAGATGTGTGTCAAGTTGCATCAAGTTGAACTTTATCAAATGCAAATTTTGCAGTAAAAGTTTGGATATATAACATAGACTAAGCTCAGCAAAGAATATTTTCTTACCTTCCAGATAAATTCTGTGAGTTGATGGATGGGAAATCTTCATCCAAATTAAATTTCACTGGTGTTGATGTCACATGTAATACTTTACTTTTTTCATTCCCACTTGAGTTCCAATTGGTTAAAGGAGATGACTTTTTTGGTGTTCCCTTAATGCACTTTGTCTGCCTTCCTTCAACTGGACTTAGTGTAATATTGTTCACTTTTCCTGATGGAGGAGTAGAGAATAAACTCCCCCTTGCACTGCTTTTGTTGAGTTATTACTGTTGACAGATGGTGGAGAATGATATTTGGGTGGCCTGAATTTCTTCTTCTTTATTTTCTTGGGCGATATGACAGGAAGGTCACATGTGAAGTGGCATGAAGATTCTTCACGAATATAGTTCAAAAAATATGCAACAAACTCAGACATTTTTAAATTCACTTGCCCAGGACCTCCATTGTTATCATTCTAAAAAAAAGTTATCAATTTGTTATTTAGCTAATATTACATGTAGCTGGTAATGCACCAAGATGTCTGCACATTGAAACAATTTTACTTTTAGTTGGCCTAATCTTGGGTTTTTGACAGCTGATAAGGTGAAAGAAGTCACCTAATATTAGCAAATTAATGTCAGGATTGGTATTAGTATTAGAAAATAGCTATTGGGATCATCTGAACAACCCTATAACTGCTGGAATCTTGATGTTACCGACCCATCTGTTTTGAAAAGTTTTACCTGTCATACAACAATATGTTTGACTGGGATCACTACACAGCAAAAAACACTCAAGTTGTTCCCAGTTGATGAGAACAGGCCTCAACAATGTTGTTCTGCACCTCATGAACAATATTGTCAACAATGTTGTTCCACTTTGTTACGCTTAACAATATTGCAACATGTTGTTGACAACATTGTTCATGGGGTGCGGCACAACATTGTTGAGGCCTGTTCTCATCAACCGGGAACAACTTGAGCGTGTAGCCAGCAGATAATTGTGTCAGTCATATTGCTGCCACTGGTTTATAAATTTGCTGTTGATCAGGTTACCGGTGTAAACCATGGATTGAGTCATACTGGAATGGGATCAAGATGAGATTATGAGAGGCATGAGATGCCACCATGTTACCCTAGGTTGTTGACGAGTTGTGACGAAAATGAGCAACGATTATTACATGTTTGCTGGCTTAGAATATACATAAATAGGACGATATAAAAGCATATGCATATCACACTCACCAGCAATTGTTCACCATTCAAATGCTTTCGAAAGACGTCGACATCTAAAGCTCCAGCTACAAGCTGCTTCAAAGTATTGGCCATTTTTTTATCAATATTTACCGATACTGAAGGATCTTAAAAATGTTAAAATCAATAAAATATTATTCTATACTTATTATACTTCTATTATTAGTAGTCCATGTTTAATAGTCCATGTTGATAAAATGGGCTATCGAAGTCTAATTTAATCGTGCACCCCCCCCCAGTTGACTCTGAGATGAGCACCTTGGTTCTCGACCCCCCTAAAGACGCTAATGCATGCCTCCACAGTGCCTTCCCCTGAAGAATACTATTCCAGAGTAGAATTAGGCAATTAGCTGTACATCTTTCGCGAACTTTCCGGACATTGCGCTTGGGCCTCTGCGCTTGGGCCAAATTACTCCAAAGCACATTTTTTCGAATGTGTGACGTACGTACGTCGATTGATCCAGGTTGTTGTCATAACGAGGATTGCAGATATGTCTAACGAAAAACGTTTGAGTACAAAGCTATTTAGCGACTTATAACAGTTTGTCATCCAGTCCAGACCACAGACACCCTTTTTAGGCCAAAGAAAAATCGCGGAGGGAAAAACCACGAAGAGCCAGGGAGTCTTCAAAAAGTGAAAAACTTTCAAAGTCTGAAAGATTTGTGTTCTCGAATGCATCCTTGGAAACAGGCAAATGTAACTAATTCCGAAAACAATATCTGTGAAGTCAAGATTACAAGATATGAGATATATTGTCGTATCTCATATCTTATACACGATATGGTTTTTCCGTGCACGTTTTTCCTAAGGACCTGAAGAAGCTGTTTGCATTGAGGTATTAAAATAAGTCTTCATGAATCACTATAAGTCATGACCATTGCTATTGCCAAGTTATGTTTTATTATATCCTCATTTCAATACCTCAAAAGTCATCTGATGCTTCGTTGAATGTCGGCTGAGCAGGATCATGTAAACAGCCCCTGATTTGGGATTGAAGATTGAAACTGCACAGTTCAACCTAACGCAACGAATATACCAAAAATTTACTCACTTCTGCTTCAGCCGACCAAAGCGTTTTGCAAGCGTTTTAACTATTTCGCTTTTTAAACGGTTGGCAATCGTAACGATCTTGAGTTTTGCCTTTGTTTTCATATTTGCCTTTTACACTGACCCAATGCGATTTTTACTTCGTCGCTACTGCTCTATAATAGTGGGTGAAATCCATTTTAAACAAGTTCATACAGAGCCTCTTTCCTCTCTCACCTCTTGTTTTCCTTTTTGAACATGTAAACGATGATGCAGTGCTTCAAAAAATGGTTTGGGGCATGGCCACTGAGGGCAAACGTTGGGTTTTAAATTTGTCATCCAAAATTAGCACTGTACCCATTTATTGGTCAAAATGTTCCGATCGGGTATCGGGAAAGCAATCGTGTTTAGCCATAAAAAAGGATGTAAATGATTGGCTCACACACTCAGTGCGTATGAATATGGGCGGTGATAACTATCAGGGGGAGATAACAGAATAAAAGGGCAGATTTCCACTTGAAATTTTTTCCTGTTTTCTCTAAAATCATTAAATCCTTGATTTAATGGGTCAAGCTGAACTTGGGTCAAGCTGAACTTGGGTCAAGCTGAACGTATTCTGAACGAACACAAATAAAAAAAGTATTTCAAACTTCGCACATTAATTTAATTTTACTAACTCGTACAAATAGTTTCACACGCGTCATTGTGTCAGCATTGTGTGTGTCGTTTTGAACAGTCAGCGTTTGTACAAATCACCAGCAAAATGCCACGTCCTCATCTTCTACAATGAAACTAAACTAGAACGATCGAAAGCCACTTGAAAGAGTCTATTTTAAAATAATTACTCCTTACTATAAATATTAAATTAATTATTTATTCGACCTCTCAATTCAAGTTGCTTTAGTTCCTGGCTTCAACTCTATCAGCTAGGGTCAACACGTTATTCAACCCGGTTTTCTGAAATTTACTAGCCACCCACTTCCATTTTCCTAGAAATCCACCGATATAAAAAGTTCACTTTTTCTAGGAATCGCTATGACGCTTCTTGTGTCACGTCCACGGGCTCGGCTTTTATTAAAGGTGGCGGAGAGCGGTTTGTAATTGGATAGTGTTCACTTGGTCGAATGATTACCGAACGCGGTCGAAAGCTTGCGATGTTCACTCGACCGCAACACGGAGACTGCATGACAGTGTATGGGTGGTAACGATAGAGGTCTAAAGGTATACCCCTAGCATAATATCCCATAGTTGGGTATTGATGGTAGTTATAAAGTTTATGAGTTAGTGCGTTGTGGGTTATAGGAACAGATAAAGGAACCGTGGATATACGCTCAATTGGTCCATAACTTGTAGTAGGCGGGCTCAGGCGTTCCACGTCTATGTGCTCTTCCTTGATTGGTTGAATTTCTTCTTTCTTGACTTCCGGAACCGGGGAAACCTCCCTTGGCGGCGTAATCTTTCCGGACATTTTGATCACTGATGGTCTTCTCTCCCGATGTCGTGGTGTTTCGATGTCGTCCTGGGTATGAGTGGGTTCTGGCGACGACTTTTTCTCGTTTGGCAATTCCTCTTTAATGTGCTTTGATTTTTTGCGATTGTCGAACGGCAGATTTACGAATTTGTAAACTAAACGTTGTCCACTGACCTAAGGGATTAAGAAATCGATTTTTAGGTATTAATTCAAGTTCCTATTACCTTTCGTAAGGGTTTAGGGCTGGTATACATTATACACTATTATACAGTTAATCTATCGATTATATACGGTTTGTAGCTAGAATATGATTGAATTGTATACAGATCAGTGTCAGTGAGCATCCCCCTGACTTCAGGTACCGTTTTCTTCTTTTGATGGATGTGATTTTGAAGGCCCAGTTAAAGATTGGCATAGGCTAAACTGGAGTGTATGTATGACTTTTTACCTTCGTTAAATAAAATTTAGTATTGAGTGACAAGTTACGGATGTTGAAAAAAGGACACTGAAATATAGCAGGCCTTAAGACATGCTTTTCCTTGCTTCCAGTGTTTTAGCAGGTTCATAAACCTAAGTGCAAATAATAATTTAATTGTAAATTCATGTTGAAAAGGTGGGTACATAAGGTTAGTATAAACCATAACCGAAATGCACATTTTTTCTGAAAGAAAATTCTTTGTTTATAAATTTCTTAGTTTTCGAGGATATATTTCCGTGTTCACTTTTATCACTTAAGGCACAAGTATTTCCTTGTTGGCCGGATCAGATATTGACTACAGTGGCATTATTTAGTACAATTTGTAGACCAAAATTTACCTAACTTTATTGAAAAGCGTTTACATATTCCTTTCTCTCCGATTCGATATTGAGCTGATTAAAAGACGTATCAAAATTTTGCAAGTGTATTGTGAATGTTATTAAAAACAAGAATTTTTACGGTCTAGAGCTTTATCGGGCAGATGTTCGCATAATGTAGGCCAAGGGCAAGTTCAAGTCATCACATTGTGCTGCTCTTTACAAAACATGCTTGACAATTTCCGTCTTCAACTGGTTTATATTGATATACCAATATTTAGCACAGTCTTTAAACTCGGAGAAGTCTCGGTAGGGGTCCGCAAACTGTCGGAAATTTCACAATGGCATGATTTGTTACAATTGAGGAACTAATTTTCGTCCACTTGGAAGGCGCGCACACAAGTGCCACTTATCTCAACACTTGAATATTGGCCCTTCCAACCAAATACCGTTTACAAAGCCACGCCATTGTGTAATAATGTGCCACGGTAATTTGCTGAGCACCCTAAGACATCAAAGCTTGCGTGAGATGAGATCTAACCGCGCTGATTGTATTGTTAACTTTGCATATAATGAATACACGCACGAATCAATATATTAATTGTTTGAAAGCATTAGATCTAGAATAAAATGTTTTACGTACATGCACCGGTTCGAAAAAATGTGGGTTTTCCCAACATATAATTAGGCCGACCCTCTGCTGGGTCTTTTAGGCGGAAACTTAATTTAGATTTTGCTAAATCCCGTTCAAACGAAGCCAACATCTTGTTAAAAATTGTTAACCTCGTTTAAACGTTGTTGCAATGTTGAATAATGCTGGATCATGTTTGACTTAAAGTTTTTATCCAAAGTTTGGCAATATCGACCGATGATTAGTTAGACACTGTGGTGCCCCGTTTAATTTAACATAACTTTGGGGTTCGAAAGCGAACATAGTCTAAAATCGTTGGCCGAGCTTAGTGGAATGTTTTATGAAAATCACATCTGGTCTAAAAAAAAGTCCTTCAACCCCGGCAAATCGTTCCTACAAAACGAACAATTTTCCGTCAAACAAAGTTGGATGATTTTAGATCAACTTTTTGGTTCGGCCTCGTGAGGTATAGTTACCTCACAAATTTTGGTTAAGTGAACCTAACAAATTTTCTGAGAGTTGGAACGATCGCGGGTCACGTCATTTCCCGTCGTAATTCACTCCCAATTTTTTTATTTGAATTTGATGTAGTTTACATTTGCGGTTCTCATTATTACTAGGTTTAAAATGTCAGGTTAACGCTATAGGTGTAGGCTGAAATTTATGTTTATTCTAATTAATGCCATCAATGTTCTAATTTAACGCAAGCGTATATTGGATCGCTTTAATACTTTGATCGGTGACGTTCGTTCAGCTAATTATATTTCTGAACCTTCCTTTTAATGACAATCAATCGACACGTGTATAAATTGAACTGAAGCCAACACCAAGCAGCCAAGGTTAACGTGAATGTATGATCTTAAAGCTGTCATTGTCTTACTCCGGAACTTAAAGGAAACCTCCAGCACATGTGATTTGCCCAAACTTATAAACCTTTTTTTCTAAAACTTTTTAAAGAAAGAACTAACATGATGTGTACATGCTCTTAAAATGAGACCATAAATATAGAAGCGGACATCTTTAGGTAGAAATCTGTGGTAATTTCGGGTGAGCACCGGAAATACCTCATACTTGGTAAAGCTCGACGTGCGGCAAGACATTGAGTCGGACGTCCGTTTCATTAATCTGCTGCACTCAGCTGATTAACAACCCACACTTGCTCAGCTGTTGGTTTTGTACAACATCAACTGGCATTTTAAGAACACCTCCTACCCCGTTATATGTCTAAATATGCCTAAAATAATACTGAGTTCTGTTGTAATCTAACCACATTCTGTCATGAATACTTTAAAAAAAAACCGGCTCACCTTCTTAATTATGTTCTTTTGGTAATAATACCGTAGAGCTCGACTTAGCTTCTCGTAGTTCATTCTCGGTCTATGTTTGCGATTGCCCCATCTTTTCGCAATCTCTTCCGTATCTTTGAGTTTGAACTCGTACTCTTCCTCTTTGGTCCAACTGATTAGCGAGGAACATGCCTCATCTGTCAGAAGTTCCAGTAAAAATTCCCAAAGATGTGTCGAGTTCTTGTGCGTAGATCGTTTTGTCATGACTGTGCTAGGTGCTGTATCTGCAGAAACATTCAAAGTATGTTAGTCTCCTGGGTTTCTATTCTCTTTGTGATCAATTCTAGCAAATGTATACTTTACATTATTTAGCCGGTTAATTGCACAAGACCATATAAAGAAATCAGGGATTTAGTTTATTGTTCCTATGTATTTCAGGTATTGTATCTGAATAAATAGCACGTATTTTAATGATATATAGTGTACAATGTTATTGGGAAAATTTCCCCAAAATTGCTGTTGTTTGCGTTTTATAAAAGGATCACTCAACACGAGTATAATTTAGTGAGGTAGTATTCTACAATAAGAATTACACGTATTTTTCTAGCAATGTAAACTAAATAGGTGTTATCAACTCCCTTTAAGCCTCAACAGCATGTTATTGAAATGGTTTACGAACTGTCGGAAACTCGGCTTTCTTATATGAACGACAGACAGTCAAGCAGTCCGTGGCGGTCGCGCCATTTTGATATTCCACTCTACTAGATTTCCGAAGGCTAAATATCGGAACGTTTGATCTGACTTTAAAGATTTCGTGTCGGAAAATGGGCTAGATCATAGACATTTTGTGGAAAACGGATGCAAATGTTCCTGTGCTGTTTAATCCTTTAATTATAGGAAATGACCGAAAAACAAATCATATTCGTAGTCATCACCGATAATACCATTTTATTTGGTGACATGCTCAGAGATTAACTATTCAGATAACATACTTGACTATAACAAAATGTGATTATCATGCTACACTTCCATCGACCCAATATGATATACAATACTAACTATAAATTTGTGCAATACTACCTATACTCAACACCACGCTTAAGATACTAATCTCTAGTCTCTCACCAAACACATTCTACAACAACAGCTAATAATAACAATACAATACTATTATACAATACCTATAGTCTACACGCCAACGAGTCACGACTGAGAAAATATATTTTAGGAAGTTCAAATAACAACCAAGACAAATTATCGTAGAACACTGCCTATGCTGCGTGGACCCCACGATTGAAATAACTTTGTCCAGTATATATATTTATGTTGTGAGTATATATATAGTTCAGGAACAGGTCACGACAGCTGATTGTGAAATTCTATTTAAATTTCTTGGTATACACATATACACATGTGTACAGTTCTGAGGTTGTCCAGCGTCTGCTGTTTAAACTCTTCCCAACTATTAGACACAATTATTTCGTTGCTAGCAACAGCGTTCCAAGTTTTCTTTCAACCGTACTGTTGGTGGGCGGTAGCAATGCATATAGGAAGTATCATTAAAAATTATATAGGAAGTATATGTGATCTCGCGTGTAAGGAATTTGTCGAAAAACAAACACGCTCTCTAATTGACGCACTTCCCACCACGCAAAATGACTTTGGAAGAATCTTCTAGAGATTATCGGCAGGGTCACCTGTCTTTCCGGCAATTTCGAGCCCAGAATAGATTAGGAATTGGTGTTCCTACTGCTTTTGGAATTTGTGGTGTTTTTTGCTATTGTATAATTTCTATTACATCTTCCCACACTTCCGAGTGAAACGAACGGAATTTGTCGTTTCTATGTTTCATTGATGCTATCGGTCAAATATGCAATCTATTTCTGATGTTTTATATATTTATTCCTTCGAATTGTTTCTGTTATCATTATATAAAACATGCTGACCAGACATGTGGTTAACCATATAATTTTAAATATGTTAGCTTTGTATATATATAAAGTTTTCTCGGCAGCTCTCAACGCTTATTTCTAGAGTCGAGACCAGTATATAAAATGTTGGGGTTGTCTCTCTCTCGGCAGAAAACCTAAATTAATATTGATATTAGGAGCGGACAATTCAATGAGTTAAAATTTGCTCTTCGGCAACCTATAGCCTCCGGTGTGTAGCTAATAATATGTTACAGGAATTCAACGTTGTGTCAAAAGTTCTTTCATCAACACTGAATTGTTTCCAACGCGGACTACCCACAACTTTCCCACAAAATAAAGGTTAATGCAACCACTCGCTGCAACACTTGACGCAAATCCTGGAAAATAGGTTCATAATTGCCAGCACTTATGTCTTATATGTGCATGGCGTGGGCTACTTCGCGTACGTATTTCGTAAACATTACGATTACATCCACACATGCAACTATCAATTATGACAACACAAAACAACTCAACGAAGAGCACAAGGCTCTTTTTCGTTCTAGACTAAATATCGTGCAATTTTTATCCACTGGAAACCACTTGGAATCCACTGATCTAATACCAGTGTTGAAGTCACACTCGTTCTAATTTGGTTACAGCTTTTTGGTTTCTTATCCCATGGCCATGAAAAGCGTGGTCGATTTTCTCGAGTAATGTAATGCATGGGTTAAAAAGTTTTCGACTTCATGTAGAATCGGGCCTTATAAGACCTTGAAGTTTGCCTTCATTCTTTTTCTTCAAATTCAAACTAACATAACTAACATGATAATGATGATTTGAACTTTCATTCAGTGATTAAAACGTGATCTTTTTCATGGTATTTAAGTGTACATTGCACAAGTCATTGAAATCATTCAACCACAAACTATACTTTGTTTGGTTGAAATATTCTGACTATAGAAACGGGTATAGCTCTCTCTTATGTGTTTAAAGGAAGCACCAAATCCAGTGTCTCCTCGTGTATGCGTTGTTATGGAAACATGACCACTGCATGCATTCTTAAGAAACACTTATTTGTAGAACAATCAGATATTATTAGCACTGGAATGTCGCAATTATCTGTTACAAGCATTGAATTTGTCTTAATATCTCGAATCATCGTCATTCCTTCGAACTAGCCTGATGTTTCCTGGATGAGGTTATACTAGCTCAACTCTAGCATCAAGGATTCAATATATTTTGGCACGAGTCAGAATACAGGTGTAGTCCAGTATCACAGTGACAAAGCATTTTTTATGAGCTGTAGGAGATTTAGACAATAAGTGACTAGAACTTTGATTTGATATAATTTCAAAGCTGTTTGAAGGACACGCGTCGTGCAAAGCTATACCTTTCGTCTTTACAGAAAGACGTTTGCAAGAAAACATTGTTATATATATACATGCTGCAATGAATGGCAATGTTTACAAGTTCTCAATCTTTCTTTAGGTCAATTTTATGAACGCTTCAGTGAATGTGAAAAGCTAGCCAACACGCTGGCCAAAATGAAATTGACAATTGTATACGATTGCGCAAAATAGCCGTTCCGCAAACTTGATTCCTGCATGTCACGCAAAATGATGCATATTTTGAAAAGTACAGGTAAAACGCACCTTCGTGTTCATCTATAGTATTTGACAACTGAGTGAACAAATCGAGAATGGCCTTGAGCCAACTCGAAATAGGGGTTTGTTTTCGTGTCTCTTTGGCGCTCAGCGTGACGGAATGAAAACAACACAACAATGTGAGAATCCGCATTGATGACCTTCAAACCGTGCACGAACGCTAATCCTAGTGTGAAATTGTAAATGGCACGTCTAGATGTATATTATTCACTATTAGGCACCATAAGCTCTATTTTAAGGGTCTAGAGTTCAGGTATTTGATTGCAAGGTGGCATAATCGCAACTGTTTGAGGAAGTGCTTCAATTCTGCCACACTGTCGCTGGCACGGTGCTTCCTTCCGCCTTGCCAGAATCCAGAGACATGTGTATACTGCATGTTTGCATTTGCCGGTATTGTGCAACTCAGTCTTCACATACATGTGGTTTGTACTCCGTTATCGAAAGTTGTTTTATAGGAAGTAAAATTTATATAATTATAAACGTGTGATTGGCCATAAATGAATTTGAAAATTCTTTGTCTTTGCACTGAAATATTGGTAGAAAATATGTCTTCTCTAGTGAGAATAAAACTGTCAAAACTAGTGTCATAATCCCTGAAATGCAGGACAATTTACTATGCCGATGAATATACAGGTCTTCTGCCATTAGAATATTAGTTTAAAAGGTTAGGAATTTTCCATAATCTATTATGCAAAAGTCCTTAGCAACATATCGGAAGTGCCTTTGTCTTAAATAGAACATAATTAAATTTAGCAATCGCCAAGACATTTGTTGCCATAAAAACGCAATATAAAACAGTGAATCCTTTGTATCTGGAACTTTTTCAAATTTTAACCCCTCACAGACCCCGCTGGTTATCGCACTGTGATTGCCTTTGGCTTTGGAAATGTATAACTTTACAATGCATCCATTGACGCTGCCAAAATTAAATCGAATAAGGATTGTTGGAGAATAAGGCAATTTTCCGTATGTGGGACGCGGAAGCGAGGAGAAATTTATTTCAACTGTAAGAATGCCCTTTCTCATGACTTATTCTTCGAGTTGAAACTCCGACATTGTCCCTTTCAAAGACTCAAAATACAAAGAATGCAACAGTTACCTATGCCTTGTCATTCAACACGAAAATAGACTGAAACAATTTGAAATTTGATTACTTCCTCTCGGTGTTTTGCAAACGGTGGCAGACTGGAATGCCAAATCTTAATGTCTTTTAATGGGTCGTTTGGAACAACAACATATGCTCGTGATTGAAGATATAAAAATCTTGACGGTGCATTAATACAAAATGACTTTTTCGCTTCCTTAAAACTGATCTTGAGCCTTTGATATAAAAAATTACTATTGTCTGCATTCTATTAAAAGACAGTAAAACGTCGAACTGATAGTGATAGGATATTGCACACGAAACCGTTTCGATAAATCACCAATATGGAAATAGCAGCACAAATATACCAAGAATAAGCCCTACTGCGTTAGACACAAAACGGAAATTCAATCAAAATTGATTTTCTTCGTAAATCGTGGTGAAAAAGTTTACATGCATCATGCATGTCTTAGTCCCAGATCATTCGTAACCTAGTTAAGGAATCGTTTGAGAAGCTATTTTTCCCACAAGATCCAGCAAGGGCCCGTATGTCATTTTCTCACCCTGCTTGAAAAGAACCATTCAAAAATATTGTGCTTGTGTTATTCTCTCTGTATAGTCTTTATGTAGGCCTACACTGCAACTTTTACGCTTCGGTGTTTTTATATTCCTTGTTCCTAAGTATTCAGTTGCTAACCAGCCACTATTCTAATAGCTGGAACTGAATGTATTTTAGAACAAATCTTATAATAGAACAACTTTATACTTTATAGTGGGAATATTGACCGGGTAAATGTGTCGGACTTTAAATAGCGGGATTTATATATACGTATCTATTTCTATAGTGCTTTATAGGTAAACCATTCGTACAAGTGCCTCTATATATCGGGTCTATGGGATTTGAGATTGGTTTTAATGTTTATAAACACACGATTATCGTTTGCTTAGCTCAGAACGAAAACAGAGGAAAATATTGTACAAGCACAAACCATCACTTTCCGCAACTTATGCCAGCTCACGACACCTAATAACAATTCATATTACAATATATATATAGCCAAAAATATCGCCATATTACTATACAGAACAATTTCATTCCTCATTTTCTATTCTCATAATCACCCGATATCTTATGCCCACCACTTCGTGGCTTGGCAACATTGGCATATTGTTGCATGCATTTTTGATATATTTTGAAATGTAATAAACGCGTATTGCCATTACGTAGACATTCAACGTGGAAAAGCAGGGGCTTTGGGGTTGTGATAACGGCGACACGTGAGATCCGAGGTTTTTGTTGGTCGTAGTTGGAACTGGCTTTAGAAATTGTAACAACATCGTGTTGGGTCTGGCTATAACTTCAGCGTGCAGTATATCTTTGTGTTTTGTACACATCACTGATTTCAAGATGTTATAGCGATATGCTTAGCTACTAAAATAGTACACCAAAAGACCTCGCTCCTTTACTACCTTAGCTAGAAACGATTATTTCTACTGCTGAGCTACATTATCCAAATCTCGCTGAAGCTTTTATACTATCGATGCCATTTGATGGTTCTCTCAAAAGCGCGTGTGATACCTTGGTCTCATAGCATATCATAGTGACATACTCGGTGATATACGGCTGGCTATATTTTACCTACTCTAGATTTGCGATAATTGGCAAATAGTATGTAGTGTAATGTATTATTAAACATACCCGAAGTATCCATTGTATAATTAAACGTCCTTCCTCCTACAAGGTTGCCACAGTTATAGTTCAATCGGGGAACGGTCTGGGTTAATTCCTCCTCGGTCTTTGACGTAAACGATTCGCCTAATGCACACAGTTAAGCACTACAAACAATAGAGCAATATAATTATAGCCCATACGTTTATAAAAAGCATTTGGATATATGGAATAATAGTTGTGGTAAGAACAATATGGAATTCTTCATTGCTTCCAAAATGCTACGTTCTCCTAGCAATGCTAAAGGTTTTGTCGACCAGATGATGTGTCGATGCCGTCACGGCGAAGCGTTAAAATTTTTTGTGTAAATAATATTAATATATTAGCCCGCACATCCGCATGTTTTCAAAGCTAAAAGGAAAATCTTGGATGTCTGAGACAATTTTCATACACACTCGCTATGGCAGCCAGAAATTTGTTTCAATTATCTAATTTGTTACTTTTACGATTAACGGCATTTTGACATTGTGTAATAGCTGCTCTTTAACGGTTCAGAAC